TCAAAGAGAAAAGTTTATACTATTTTTTTACATAATTTTATCAATCATTTGATAATATAAAATATTTTTGTCACATCTTGTTTTATAGAACTTTTCATATAATTTAAAATAATGTAATTTATATTTTTTTATGATATACCAATTTGTAAATAAATTAATTTAAAAAATGATGGGATTTTACACGTTGTTCAAAGAGAAAAGTTTATTATTGGCCCCATCCGGATGCTCCATCGTTCATTTCATTTTTTACAAATAATACTCCCTTTTTTTAAATACCACCAAAATGATATTTTAAAAACCCTTATGGATATAAGTATTGCTTTATAGTTTTTATATTTAAATTAATGGCATATTTATGTAGTACTACCTGATTAATATTCTTTTGTCATAAATTAAATTATTTGTTTACTATTAAAATGATGAAACTTCATTCATTTTCTTTCATTATTTTCATTACTCATTTGATAAAATAGTAATAAAATCATGTCACCTGTTAATATGTACTTCATCCGTCCCATTTTATAACGCATGTTTCGATTTACGATGTTTGACTGAAATTATTTTCAAATCATTTTATATGACAAATTGTATAAAGTAAAAAAATAAAAATTACATTTTAAAATACTACATCAAAAGATCTACAAAACTAGTAGTGACAATAATACATTATTTTATCAATTTACTAACGAAAATAGAGAAAGAAAGTGAATGAAATTTGATCCTGTGAATAGTAAACAGATATTATAATTTGGGACGGAAGAAGTATTTCACTTGGAGCATGAATCACATTTTGTTTTCTATTCGATCAGATACAATTTAAAATTTGGATACAAATTTTATTTAACATTCAATCTCGGAAAATCATAAGCTAGGATTTTAAGGGTCTAAAAGTTACTCCGTACAATCCGCTATGCCAGCCAAGGTATTCTCGATAATATTTTTCTCTGGATCCGACATTGTGCCAAAGACTTTGCGGGTGCTTGATATCCTCCAATGAGGAAACACGAGGCTCAAAAGTCAAAACAAAGTTTGTGATTTGACTTCACAAATATATTTTTTAAAAAACATTAAAAATTAAAAAAGTTTAAAAATTAGAACATATGTTTGGAGGAGAGATCATTTGTGGCTTGTGAGCAGTATATTCCATTCATTAAATAAAAAAAGAAAAATGTGAAATTTGTTTCGCTAAAATCACCCAAAATAAGAGAGTAAAACATAGGCTTTATCCTCAAAATAAAAATTCCATATTTTTATCCTCAAAATAAAAATTTACACTGTAACAATGCAACACTACATTTGCATTCCATAGTACTTCCTTCGTCTCATTTTAAATTGCTTGTTTTTCTTTTTTTGTCCGTCTAAAAATAAGTTACATGTTTCTTATAATAATAAGCTTTTAAAAGTAAAATACCTAAAATAAGTCACTCCTCTCCACCTTATCCTCTCATTCATCGTCATCCCCGTAGAAAGTAAGGCATTTTTGAAAAGTCAACACCAATTTTTCTCTTCTTTAAATATGCTTCAAAGTCAAAACGGGCAATATAAAATAGAACAGACATTGAAACTCATATTTTAAAGATAAAAACTTAAGCTCCAATTTTGATGCTTTTTTATGTAATACTCCCAGTTTTGTCTTTTTCTCTTTATCTCGAGACCGACAGAAAAGAATTGAAATTCATTTTGGGATAGACGAAGTACTAAAATCAGTTTTTTTCTATAGGGACACTAAACTAGGCCACCCTTCATGGAGTTCATTCATTCTCACCAATGAACAAAGGGGCATACAAATAGTATGATCAAATCTCAAAGACCTTTGGTATGATCAAATCTCAAAGGGCTTCCAAACAAACAAAAAAGAAGCCCATGCATAAGAAAACTCAGACTGAATTATGTAGAGACATATTCAAAGGGCTGATATGAACCTTTGGATTCTTGATTGTGTCCTCTCCTTCTCCTCCGGTCCACTGAAATCGCCAATGTTGTCATGATATTCCTGTTCCAAAGGACACAGAATTAAAATGTTTTTAGCACAATTCTTATATTAACAATAATGCTCATCCTTTGGGTAGAGTCTGGATTGTTTGGGATCATAGTAAAATCTGTATCAAGATTTTGGAGGCTACTGATCAGATTGTTCACTGCAAAGGAAGATTTGTTGGAGATGATAGAGAATTCTTCCTGTCTTTCGTTTATGCACAAAATGATTCTAATAAGAGGAAGGAACTTTGGGACATAATGCAGAGGTTATCAACTAATGATGCCTGGTGTGTTTTAGGGGACTTCAATACTGTCCTCAACCTTGATGAAAGGATAGGTGGTAACATTACAAATTGGGAAGAACCTAGGCTGTTTAAGGACTGTCTAAATAATTGTGGCCTGGAAGACCTTCCCTATGAAGGGTCTAAGTACACATGGACTAATAATCAAAGTAAAGAAGCCAGAATCTACTCAAAGCTTGACAGAGTTCTGGGTAATGTGGAATGGACAATCAAATTTAATTTCAAAGTCTTCTTCAATGAAAGAGGTATTTCTGATCATTCTCCAATGATCCTGAAAAATTTGGAACATGAAGGGCATAATTTCTGTTTCAAGTACTGTGATATGTGGGCATTAGATCCAAGCTTTCCTTCCCTGGTTTCAGAAATTTGGGATCAAAAACAAGAAGGCTACCTGATGCACCAAGTCACCCAAAAACTCAAGAGGCTTAAAGGTCCTTTGAGGACCCTTAACAGAGACAAATTTCAATTTCTAGATAAACAAGTGGAAATCCTGCGCACCAAGTTACACCTCACTCAAGAAGAGCTGAAGAATAACTTGAATGATGACAACCTCCTTGAAGCTGAAAAACAGTTAACTCAGGAGCTTTATTTAAAAATGAAAGCCTCCTTTCTTTTAAGAAGACAACAAGCAAAGGCAGATTGGATCACCTTTGGAGATCATGACTCTAAACTCTTCTATGCATGGGTTAAGAAGAGGAAAGCAACCAACCAATTAACATCTATAAGGAATGCAGAACATGAAATTGTGGAGGGTAAGCAGGCAGTAGCTAAAGTACTTGTTGATTTCTATCAAGAACAACTGGGGAGAACAAAACCAACAGATGATATCAATGGAGAGATAATCAATATGGGTAACTGTTTGACAATTGGGCAACAACTGGAGATCATAGCCCCCATCACACCTGAAGAGATTAAGCAAAGCATGTTTGACATTCCCAGAAATAAAAGTCCAGGGCCTGATGGTTTTAGTAGTGGTTTCTTTAAATGCCAATGGAAGAAGGTGGGGGGTCTGATAACCCAAGCCATTCAAGAATTTTTCCTAAAGGAGGATACTGTCAAACAAATTAATGCAACCAACTTAGTTGTCATCCCTAAATGTGAAGATCCTAAGAGTCCCACTGACCTTAGGCCAATAGCATGCTGCAATGTATTATATAAAGTCATAGCCAAAATCATTTGCAATAGACTCAAAAAAGTACTGCCAAGCATTATAAATTTGAATCAGGGAGCCTTTGTTGAAGGGAGAGAGCTTGTGCACAACGTGTTAATTTGTCAAGAACTTGCGAGAGGCTATAGTAGAAAGGACATCTCCCCTAGAGGACTTGTAGTATCTCTCTAGATCTGGCAAAAGCGAAACAAAATTCGAATGGAGGCTGACCGCTGAGCCCACTCTGGCCTCGCAGGGCGGGCCCCTGTGGTTGCGAGCTGGAATGGACGGCTGCCATAGCTTATGAATGGGAGGAAAGGATAACGAGCGCGGAGCCCGCCAAGCGGGCAAGTGCAGGGAAATGAGTTTGGTAGGCCAACAGCCCATGATAATGTTAGTTGGAAGGCCTTATTTCAGATCCTCACCTTGCTGAAGTTCCCTTCGAAGTTTATAAACTGGATCAAGTTTTGTGTGACTACTCCTACCTATTCAATCCTGTTTGCTGGAGAGAGCTTTGGGTTTTTCAGAGGAGGCAAGGGCATTAGGCAAGGAGATCCAGTCTCCCCACTTCTTTTTGTTATCATCATGGAATACCTGACCAGAACATTCCTATGGTTTGCTTCAAAAGAAAAATTTGGATACCACCCTATGTGTAAGTCCATGAACCTCATTAATATCATTTTTGCTGATGACCTCATAGTAGCCTGCAAAGCTGAAGAAAACACTATCCATTGTATTATGAGAGCTCTACAACACTTTAGGGATACTACCGGACTGTCTGTTAATCAGGGAAAATCTGAAATCATTTTTGGAGGGATCAAAACTCAGATGGAACATAAACTGCTGCAGATCACCAACATGAGGAAAGGCCAGCTGCCATTCACATACCTAGGAGGTCCCATTACATCCTCAAGAATCAGTGCAAAGGAATGTGAAAGGCATATTGAGAAAATGACAAGTAAGATTAATGCTGTGTTATATGGCATAATCAGTTTTTGGAGTAGATTGTTTCTAATCCCCGCCAAGGTAATGATGAAGATCCAAGGACTATGCAGGAATTTCCTTTGGGGCTCCACTCAGGAAAAGAAAAGAGTTCCTTTGGTTGCTTGGGAAGATATCTGCATGCCTAGAAAATATGGAGGACTTGGATTTAAAAATCTGGTGCTATGGAACAAGGCAAGTCTTATGAAGTTGATTTGGGATATTTCACTAAAAAAGGATATCTTGTGGATCAAATGGATCCACAATAAGTACTTAGAGAAGTGCAGCATTTGGGACCTTCAAAGCAAAAATGACAGTTGTTTCTATTGGAAAAAACTCCTCCACGTGAGAGACTGTTTTGCCGATATGGATAAAACTACTGCATACTTACCTAATGCGGGATATCTATGGTTACTGGGGGAGAAACAGAAGGCTGAATGGGAGGGATTTGTATGGAATAAACTCACAATACCAAAACATAAATTCATCTTATGGTTGATCTGTAGAGGGAAGCTTCAAACAAAATGTATGCTGGCCAGATTTTTACCCATTGATACCTTATGCCAGTTTTGTTTGAAGGAGCAGGAGGATATTGAACATCTATTGTGCAGATGTGAATATGCAAGAGATATCTACAGAAAGCTCCTCCCTAGTCTTGGCTATAATTTTGAAGGTCGCAGTCTTAAAGAAGTGATGAGGGATTGTTTAAAGATAAAACCACTTAGGAAGAGAAGGGAAATCATTTCTACTTATGCAGCCACTGCCTATGCAATATGGAAGGCCCGTAACCAAAAGATTTTCCAAGAGAAATCCATGCCTACTGAGGATGTATTCCAGGAGATTATATACCAAGTGAGTGTGTATATGGAAGGAAAAGGAAAAGCCTAGTTTCCAGAATGCTTGTCCATTTGGAGTAATTGTCCTCCTGTTCTTTGTAATATGTTGTTTTCATTGACATTTGGTGGTGAAATATATTTGCTTTTGGTTTCAAAAAAACAATCCAGCAAGTCCTAGACCTTAACTCTACCTATTATCTTATGCGTAAACAGAAACGCAAGATAAGGGGTACCAAAAAGGCAAAAAATAAAATTTTCAAACATCATTTGTTAATACTAAGTAAACAAATAGTTGTAAGAAGGTTTTCCTTGGTTCCCTAGAGGATTCTGAAACCCACAGTCTATTAGAGGTCTTGTCACTGCGGTTCTTCTAGCACCGGTTTTGGGTTCCATAACATGACGTTGGGGCCCTACGATGCTCATTTCATGGTTTAGTAGATATCTTGGTGCGTGTATATATTTGAGATTTCGTGAAAATTTTAAAATTAATGTAATAAGTGGTCTTATAAATTACAACCACCTTGGATTTGTTTTTAGAATCATTCTATCTACCAAGATATAGACTAAGCCTCTACCTCTATGGGACTTTATTGGGTCGTTGTTGTAGGCATAATTGATCCCTTTAAAAACCTCGTCCAAACAATCCCTAAGAGTTTAAACCGTTCATAGAGACTTCTGCTAATATCCCACTGTGACTATGCAAGTTTCGTTATCTTGGAAATGCATTCATCGTTTCAAAATGCACAAACAACTACGCCACTACGGGTNGGGGGGGGGAGGACATTAGACCCTTAGACCTTCAAGATTTCTCAGACAGCCCCCTAAAAATCTTCCTTGCAAATAGTCTAAAATTTGCATCCTATCTAAGGGCTCGTTTGGTAATGATTATTCACTTATTTGACTGAAATGATTAAATTTTTAACAAAAAAGTGCTTTTAATATCCATTAGAGCTAAATACGCCAGTCAAAAGCTATTCATTCTGATTTGGAGATAATTAGAACAACCCAAATCTAGCTACCAATGGAATCCTAGATCCAGCAGTGTGTGTTGTATGAACTATAAATATATATGCTTGAGAGACATTCCAGTTGATGTTTGGAGAGTCATAATTAGTAAAATAAGTATGTTTCTTCAATAGAAAGGCTTGGCTACATAGAATTTAATGCAGTGAATAGGCTGAAAGGATAATTAGAGGGAAAACATAGAATTTCATAAGTGGTGTGCAAATACCTGGAGTATATCTTTCACATCCTGCTTGGTGAGCTTATGCTGCTTCAACAGTAGCTCAATCCTTGCTCGGATCCGAGGATGCCTAATAGGCATGCCAGGAAAAGAGTAAAAATATGCATCAAGCCCTTGTTTGGGTGAAGGATTTCAAAGGGGATGGGTGATAAGGAGTATTTATTTTATAAACTTGTGCTTGAATTTACATAATTACATGGTTGGAAAGAAAGTAAAGGTGAAAATTTAGATAGTAATAATATATGAATTCAATAAACATAAACTCCGTAGTTATTCTCTGATCGAAGATTAATAAATAGAGATAAATTACTACGACAAAAAATAAGGCCAGATCTGGGAGAGAGATCCCACTGGAAAACCATGATATTAAGCACAAAATGAATATTTAGGTGCTGATACATACTCAGAAGTCCACAGATGACCAAGGATCACAGCAATCAACTGCAGAATGAGAGAGAGAGAGAATTAGAACGTAGTACAGTAAAATCAAAGATAGGGCTGATAAAACGCTCCAGGAAATGAAAGAAAAGAGAGTATTCAAGATTAAAATAAAATACTCAACCTGAAGGGTATAAAGTCCGGCTTCAAGCTTTCTGTTGTACTTTTCATCTTCATCCATCTAAAGAGATAACAAGATTAATGCATTAGGGCTATGTTTGGAAAGTGGAAAAAAGTGGTGTGTGGGGGGGGGATGCTTTCGGGCAATAGTTTTTTAGAATTTATTTTTTGCTTTGCCTCTTAAAATAAGGAGACCTAAATTTGGTAAAAACTTTTTAAGTTTCAAATTTAATTAGATTTTGTAGTCCTTGTATAATATAAATATATACTCCGTAACTAAAATGAGTTCTTGTGCAAAAATGACAACAACCCGGTAGGATTTCACTAAAGTGGGGTAAGTAAAAAGAGTTCTACTAAATATGTAAACTAAGTGCATTGAATTTGAGTCTTTCATTTTCCCCTAAATTTTCCGTACTACCAATTATCTTCTCTTTTTTCCTTCCTTCTTTCTTCCTCTAAAATTTTCTGTGTTCCAACCTTAAAAAACCAAAATGCCTGTTCAGAATAGAAAGATGATGACATAATGATGTTATTCTCAGAATTATAAACAGAAATAACCTCCAAATCATCAAGTTCAAGCTGGTCAAACTTAGCAGCTTCTTTTTTCACTCTAGTAGAATATCTGCCAGATAATTTCAAACAAAGATCAGATGAAAGTACTATCACGGGGGGGGGGGGAATAAAGAGAAAGCAGGCTGATGACCTCATGTATAATTCCATAAGTCTGTCTATCTTCTCACATTCATTCTCCACAAATTTACTCAACAATCTCTCTCTTCTAGACCCTCTTAATATTCCACCTGCCATTCCCAAGCAGAATCACGAGACAAAAGATTAATATCCACAAGAGGCATGATATGATGCAAAATTGCAAATGGAAGCATTAAAATGTTCACAATAGCCACAGCATATTTTCCGTTCTTCCATCCGCTCATCAATACTAAAACAATAATAGTATTAGTAAAATAGATTTTTAATGTTATTTAGATATTGGGAAAAGAGTTGAACTTTGATGACAGCTTTTGTGAATAGTTAAAGGCCGAAGACATGGAACGGGGCAGAACTTTCTAGAACAATTCTACCCGTCGAACCAACAACCCTTTTGAGTAATTGAAGAGGCTGAAGATGCAGGGAAGAGTAAATAGGACTTAACAAATCAGAGAAGAGCGAAGGTGCGGACAAGATTGGCAAGCCATTTCCCTACAAGACCTAACGGTGCACATCTCATAGATTGAACTTCCACATCCACAATAAACTATGGGTGTTCCTATATCTGTTTTGGTTGGCTTCGGTTTGGTTTGTTTGTTTTTGGAAAATGTAAAACTGAATATCAAAGTGGATGAGGTAAGTCAGCTCTGAGTTTTGACAAGTCATTTTTCTTCCCGACTCGGTGATGCGGATCTCATAGATTGGATCCCACTGCCACAGACACAATAAAGTAGGAGTCTTTGTATTGGTTGGCTTTGTTTGGCTGGCTCAATTTAGTAAAATTGCAAAAATGAAAACCAAACTGAACAACGTAAATCAATTTGATCAGGTCCATTTCACTTCTGTCATTTGTCTGTTTTCGTTGGTTTTTGTCGGTTCTCATATCCTAAGCTTTACAGTTTACAAATCATAAGGAGATCATCCGTGGTAACACGATGATACTTATAGAGACCACATACATAATTCTTTTTTATTGAGTTTCCCTGTGACAATTATTAGCAGGAGAAAAAAAAGTTCACCTACAAAGCCTATTTACCCTTCTAAGCAATAAATGATGCAACAAATGATACATGGCCCTCTACCAGTTCTTCCTCTCATCTCTTTCTGTTCATTTTGCACGAAAGGCCCGTAAAATGCACAAGGAAAAAGTTCACCTGTAAGATCTATATTATCTTCTTACCAAGTAATGATGCAATGAGTGATACGAGGCGCTCTTCCAATTCTTCCTTGTAGCGCTTCTTGTTCTTTTTGCTCAAAGGAAGCTAAAAGTGCAAGAAAAAGAAAGAAAAACACTTTAAAGTTTTGCATATTATGTTGGGAAAGAAGGGTTGAGAGCTTGGAAATATGAAGCGTCATTAGTATAAAAGATTAGTGTAGAAAATATATATCATATTATCATCCTTCCCCTTAAAAAAGAACTTTGTTTCAAACATTCAGTAAGGTACCACCGCAAGACCATTTAGCTGAGTCAAATCAATCAACATAAATCGCTTTACTAAAATGGACTACTTCAATTAAACCGCTAGCCACTTGGATTTACATGAATTTTACTTAAAATGATGATTAAATTTTAAAATATAACTCTATTTTCGGGACAAAAGTTGTTACAAAGGACTTCTCTTTTTGGACATAAGAAATGAAAAATCGTCTGAATGTTTTTGTATTTCAAAGCGAAAATTGTAAGAGAAGTACGCGGTGGAATTTACCCAATAAAAAATACTGAGTGATAAAAGTAAACAGGGAATGTGCATGATGCAAAGTCCAGTATTAGTTCTAGGAAACCATATGACGTCTTAAAGTGAACTCCAACTATACTTCATTTTCCTTTAGACTTCAGAAAATAAAACTTGTTCCGTTTCAAAAACATCTCCCAAAAAATTAGTAAGCTAACAGTAGCTAAAGGGATCATTACAAAGCATCTCATGATGCCACTAATGAGATCTAATGAATTCAAAAGTAGCATATACTCTGGGGTAGTTAACAATAAAAAGAGGCGGCTGACTTGCCTTACCCATGAAAGCTGGAAATGCAGTCTTTAGCCCCATCACGTCCACAAATCTCTCGCAAGCTGGGGGGTAATTAGTCATTGCAAAGTCCAATGCCCTTATTGCAGAACCATAAGATAGCTTCTTTTGATTCATAATTATTATCATAAGCTCAACTCCTTCAGACTTCACAAATCTTTCTTTGTTCTCCAATGGCATTAACAAACAGCATAGCGAGTCAAATAAATTCTCAACCATCTCTTCCTCGTCCGGTGACTTGGGGTCCTTCGATTTGTAAGCTGCTACAGCCTGCAAAATTGTGTCCACCCCATTCATTTGCCCTAACCTCTTCTGATTGGCCGTGCTACTCTGCAACAAAATAGCCAAAATCTCAGAAGCGTATTGTTTATTGCTGTCAAACTCTTTCACCTTGAGTCTACTCAATAACCACTTCATAAGCTTGGTTCTCTCACACACAAGCTCCGCCACTGATGGCTTCACTTCAATGAAGTTTTCAATCGTAGCTAAAGTGTTGTATATTGCTGCAGATTCATCTGGATCGGTGTCAGATAATCGGCTGAGGTTCTGAACAAGCAGCTCAAGAGCATTGTTCTCAATGAGAGCATCAACTAAGACTTGAGCCGGCTCGTCATTGTCCTCCAGAACATCTTCATCAGTGAGGTCCTGAAGCAGCCCAATAACGTCTATGGATATATCTGTGTTTTCGTGATTAATCAAGCTGGTAATGGAAGCAACCGTGCCCAGATTTACTAAATCCGGGTAGAATTCCGGTCCACCGGCCATTACTTTCAGTTTCTGAATCTCATCGTGGAGTTCCATTTCAGAGTCCACGAATTTATCTGGCTGGTCCGGGTACTTGAGCCGGGCTGCAATGTTTTCTTTGAGGCGGCGTTCGAATGAGAGGACGAGCTTTTTCACCGTCTTCTGGTCGAGAGCCTCGACGGCGACCTGCTGCGATTTTTCAAGAGCTTCAAGAAGGGAGAGATCAATTCCACCGTCCGTTGTGTCCAGAGGTGCCGGCCGGCCGCCTCCGTATCCATCTTGTTCGTACTCGTCGGCGTTGCGTTTGCGTTTGGAATTGTGGTTGACGACTTCCATGGATTGCCGGTCGAATTTCACTTAGCTCTGAACCCTAGCTTACATCAATGAGCAAAATCTTAAATCCTCAATGCATGGCCTACCTAAATACTCCTCTTCTCTAATGTTAATTTGTTATATTACAGACTATATTTTAGTATAATTGAAATAAGTATTTAACGAATAAAATTTGGTGGTACGGAGTACATACTTTGCTAAGTTTATTATGATAAAAGTTTTGTTTTAACGGAATTTTAAGGAAGCATTGCCGCCTTGGGGCAACACCCCCAAGAAGGGTTCAAGTGACGGCAACCCCTACATGGTCCAAGGAGCAGAACCTCTAGCTAGGTTAAAATTTGTTCTGTTAAAAGTTCACTTAAATTTTTAATTCTCAGAATTTATTAAGGGTTTTTTCTAAAAATATGCGCCTTCTAAAATCGCGCAATTAAACACGAGTTTTAGATGAGAAATGTGACCGCATCTTTTTCTTCCTTCCGCGGCTATATGAATCCGGCAAATCCTTCGTTGCACGGTGCAGTTCGAAAAATTTATATCAACTTATGCATGTTCTTGTAAAAAAATTAAGTTTTATCCGATTGATTATTGAATAAACACCCAAAATGGTCAATCTGAAAGTGATACACGACTCTCTAATTGATTTCTGGCAATTACAAACTATTTGGGTTCAACCCATGCCAACCGCATTATACTTTTAAAAATAGAGAAAACAAAATTTGAGCTATAGAATTTTAAAAAAAGGCAGGGCTTCTTAGAGTGATTCCCCGGTTTGTGTAGATAAGGTGTAACACATTCCTTTATATGCTTTTTTATTGTGTTTTTCCCAAATAAAATCAACCTTTATTTTTTATTCGAACGGAGTAGGGAAATCTGTTTTTATCATTTATTTACTGAACGGAGTAGGGAAATCCATTTCTATTTGTATTTTTTTAAATTTTTTCTTTGTCATTAAAGCACCTTCTTCCCGTTTCTGTTCCCATGACATTTACTTTAAAACTTTTTTGTTCAAATAATTTGTCACTTATAAATAAATTATAAAACTTAAAAATAAAATATTTTTCTTCATCATTAAAATATTTTTGTTCATAAAATATATTTTTTGATAATTTTATTTATCATTAAATAAAATATACTATAATAAAATTTAAAACTAAAACTACTATTTATTGACTTTAAGTGAACTTTGTACAACAAAATTAAAAGAAGAAAAAAAAATACAAGAAATTTAATGATATAGTACATATAACAATCCATTCTTAAAAATAAGATTACATAAAATGTGTTAAACAAAAGGAAAATACTAAAGATAATGGCTACCAATACACATCGTGTCCCACGTCGATTGCGTCGTGGTTGAAGATCCTGATCTCGTTCCTCATCCACGTCAACGTTACTGAACATTTGAGAGATCACCGATGGTGTAGTGTTGGAGAGATATTGCTCAAACTCATCTGTGAGCTGACTTTCTTGAGTAAACATATAATCTCCACCAAACGTGATTGGTGACGTATGGTACATGCGCTGTGGAGGAGCTAGAATCTCGAATCGTGGAGTACATGAAGTGGATGGCTCACCGGTGCAAGCGGGTGTGTGTGGGTATCGCTCTCAACACAGTCCTCTTTAGTGTCATCCTCGCCTTAGGACATACGGGGAGATTGGATGGGTGTATGAACATCTTCTCTTTCGACATGCAGCATGCGCTAACTCCGCCCACCATGCCTAACCTCGACAGCACGTGCATCGCGCCTTCTATCTGCCCGTCTCCGAATATGTCCTTGACTGTAGACTGGCTGCTCCTGTGGATGATCAAGGATAGATGCATGTCCAAGAACACGCATACACTCACCTAACAAGTCATGAGCTCACACTACCTCGTGAGAAGGTACAAAACCATCCGGGTGCCAACCCCAATCCGCTATACAAGATAGCTACTCACAATACTATGATTAGTCCCATACAAATTTATAACAAAAAATTGAATTTAATTAATACGTACCGCGGTCTGTAGCTCAGGAGAAATGGGAACCTATCATGTTTCGTGATGATGTGTGGGGTTTGCTATTTGTCTTCGACCGCGGACATAATACCACAGACGATACTCAGGTGTGGCATCCAGCATCCCAAATTCCATCGGTACATGTGCAGCGCATCGTCCCTCCCATACATCTAAATAATGTCTCTCACGGTCACCAAGCTCCATGGTGTTTGACTTAATGTTATGTAGGTGTCGATCATACATTACATCTTGAAGAATGCGTTGGAGAGCACCGAATTGTCTGCAAAACCAATCTGAAAAGTACATCTCCACAACATACCCATAGATCAAAGGGATGCGTGATATCCATATTCGAAGTCCGGCTGAACAAAAGGGTGGCAGAGTATCAAGATTCGGATACGGCATCCAAACAAACTGCATACATAAAGAAGTAATACAATAGACATTTAAAATAAAATATGTAAGCATTACATTGTGATGTGATTATTACTTACCTCTCCCTCGAGCAATCTATCTATTTGGTCCCTGCGTGCTCATAAAGAGTGTGTTGTACAATCTGATCACCGATGATATCACACCCATTTACAAGTGGAGGATTAAACATTAACATGAATAAAATAAATTGAGTGAATGCATGATATACATAAATAAATTGTAAATACACGACTCCGCGTGGGACATTAACCAGCTGTTCCAATGGTACAACGCCCCTAGGTCTAGTCATAGGCAGACGTTCCCATGCCCAAAGCTGTAACAGGACAAGACACCCTCCAATCTGTGCTACATGTGCCATGCTAGCATGACACATACTACGATACAAGAAACTAAGAACTGCAGCACCAATGACACAACCTGCACCACCACAAAGTCGATCACCCATGATTACCTCCAATAGATATAAGCTAACCTTATTTCCCGTCGTGTTGGGAAATAATCTACTACCCAACAACTTAAACATAATAGTTCTAGCATGCTGTAGGCAATCAACATCTACACTATGATCTGTCAACGCCTTCGGAACAATTGCAGACATCTTAATCATAGAAGACGAAATATCATATGCTTCAAGACTAAATCCCATCATGTCGTCGCATATCTGAATCCACTGATCCTTTAATCGAGTGATCCCCGCCAATGGAATGCCATATACGGGAAATCCAAGCAAAACCTCAACATCTTGCAGCGTAATTCCCACCTATTCAAAGGCAAGATGAAATGAATGGGTTTCCGGTCTCCATCTCTCCACTAAAGAAGTAATCAAAGCTCAATCCAACTATAACCCACCAACTTTCTCCATCCCATAAAATCCAAAATCTCGTAAAATATCAATCACACGAGGTGGTCTATTAGCAACAAGAGTCTTTGTATATAAACTAGAACAAGTCTTATGACACTTTAAGATCACTTTTACATATTCTTTGCTCGCCCATACCGCATCACACCTATGTTCTTCGGGTTGGAGAACTAAAATGTCTCGTGAAGTAGGTTTCGGATGAACATTCATTTACTTCAAAGATTAAAACATAACAATTTACATTTAATAACAATTCATTTGATACAGACATTACTACATAACAATTTGTTCTTTTAATAAAAGCACAACAAGATAATATAATAAAAAACATAAACTAACTAATTATGTTAAAAATATCTTGCAATCCCATTAAAAAAATTCCAAATTTTAATCAATATTTAAAGATTCAAATTCAAAATCTTTAAAAGTAAATAATATACTCCTATAATAATTAGAATAAAAAATTCCATGAACTAGGTATAAATCCTATATAATTTTTGAGATAATAGATTCATGAATATCAAATTTCTACATTTTATGATATATATCTGAACATTATCGTAAAATGATAAATGTTTAAATAAATTAAGTCAAAAATATAAAATACCTCCATTAAACGGAGTAGGGTAGTCCGATCGGTAAACTTCCTCTTTCCTTCTTCCTCGTGTTCTTCCCTTCGGCGGTGCTCGGCTTCTCCTCTAGTTTTTTTGGGTGTCGGCGTAGGAGATTGGGTGGATGGGGATTAGATAAAATCTGCAAATTTTTAGAAGACAGAGTACGCTACTCCGTATGAGTTGAATTTTGGGTGGAACGGAGTACCCTACTTCGTATGGGTTGAATATTGGGATGGAACGAATTTACTAACTCCGTATAGCACTGCAAAGAAAATTTCTCTGACTTACACTGTGAGGAATTCAATATGTCTTTTTCATATATATATATATATATATATATATATATATATCGGTCATTTACTCGGACTTCTGGGCCCAAAATAAATATATTGTAATATAATATAAAAATAAACCATAATTTATATAAAAATATTGTGCTTCTAAAATAAATGAGCCCGATTCGATAAGACTGCTTGACCCACCCCAAATCGACCCTAAAATCAATATCATACCATATTGTATGAGTTACAATTTAAATAGTGATCAAATCAATTTGCATTAAATGAGATTATCGTCGAAACAAAAAACAAATAACATGAGACAAAAAGAAGAGTTCTATCCCGTAAAACCACTTCCCGTCCCATACTAGCCAGATATTTTGGTAACAAATTGGACTAATATGTCAATCCAATTAAGCGAGCACAAATAGGGATTGAAGATCGAATTCTAGAATCTGAGATTGAATTAGTGGGTTTTTCCTTTGACTTTTGACATTTTAACACAAAATTCATGTTAAAACTTAAAAGGCCAAACGCCGCTTTATAAATTCTTCATTTCATCTTCTTCCCAACTTACATTCCTTTTCACTGCTCCCAGGCAACTCCCCTCTTGCAGGAAGATCCAAACCTAGAAACCAAAGCTGCCATGGCCGGAGTTGAGATGCTGCCAAGGGAATACGGCTACGTGGTAATCGTCCTCGTCCTCTACTGTTTCCTCAACTTCTGGATGGCCATCCAAGTCGTCAAAGCTCGCAAGAAGTATACAGCTTCGATTCATACTCAATTTTGTAGTTTTTGCGAATTACGTCCTCAGACTTGCACCGATTCGGATCTGAATTTGTAATCGAATTGTTTTTTGGTTTTAGGTTATAAGTATTGAATCGAATTGTTATATTCGTGGCAGGTATAATGTTTCCTATCCTGCTATGTATGCTTCAGAAGCTGAAAACAAGGACGCCAAGCTCTTCAACTGCGTTCAGGTTCTTAATTATTACCTTCTCTGTTTATTTGTTTAAAAAAAACTGGGAGGTTAAATGTAGAGATGATTGCTTGAAAATGTGTGATTAGCAATGGGTTTGATTGTAATTGTTGGGTGTAATGACAGAGGGGACATCAGAATTCACTGGAACTGATGCCTGTATTCTTCATGCTGATGATAGTGGGAGGAATAAAGCACCCTTTGGTGTGTTCTTCACTGGGTACTGTTTACATCTTTGCTCGTCTCGGCTATTTCATAGGCTATGCTACAGGGGTTCCTGAGAACCGCCTTACAATTGGGTATGCATTTTTTGTTGATGAAAGTTTATAGTTCAGCATGTGCATGTTCTCGTAAACTATTAGGGCCAGTTTGTTGAGCTAATCAGGGGTTATACGTGCTCTGAAATGTGGAAGAAATGATATGAGTTTTGAATTATGAAGTGAGAGTGTTTGAAAAGATTTGGAATAATGGTCGTTAGTGACATGCCGGGTGGCCGCTGGTTCAGGGAGATATCAAAACTCCGGATTGATATCTTATCAAAACACTATCATTTTGGGAGGACTGTGATGCCCAAAGATATCAAATCTAAAACTTGTTTAGGCTTCACCAAACATCCACAAAAAGGATTCTGAACCCATATTTCACGTGCTCAACAAACTCTTATAGAGTTGATTGATGTTTGGATTTGTGCTAAATTGCTTGCTAGTCGATAGAGATCCTCTTATCATTAGTTAAAATATCAAAAAATGATATGCTTGAGTGAATGTAGTTGTTCGCATATGCATTACAACATGTATATGAAATTTTAACGTTGCATATACATACATCCATGGATTCAATGCACATGCTATGTCGTCTAGAACTCATAGTCACAGCAACTTAAGACTTTTTGTGATTGGGCACATGTTATGTAGTCTAGACTCTAGAACTCATAAAAACTTTAACCTTTTTATGCACTGGGCACATGTTAAGTAAGCTAGAACTCTTAGTCATAGCAACTTTAAACCATTTTATCTACACCACTAGGCACATTTTAAAGTAGAGTCTAGAGAAGAACTCATGGCTTTTAGAATGGAAAGGAATATTTTACTTTCCAAATCAGATTCCAGGTTTGGATTCTGGAAATATGTTCACTCCCTCAACTCCCATATGAATACGTTACAATTATGTACTCTTACTTTCTTTACTTTGTTGGTTGTGCTTTCTGTTTTGGCTGAGGATCTCTTACACTATGTTTGGTTTAAGGAATTTGAAGATGAAAAGCAAAGAAATTGAGAGGGAAACCAAAATTCTCCCCATTTTGGCAAGGAAATTGAGATTTAAGAGAAAACCATTTTCTTTTCTTTTCCTTCCCAATTCCTTGAACCAAACATAGTCTTAAACCTCTCTACTATTAAGTACAGAGTATCAAAAGAGGTGATGGTACACCCTCCCCATATCGTACTTATTGTGACATTTTACTGAGTTTGATGTTATTGAATCCGAGAACACCTATGGCAATTGTTGTTTATACTACTCGTATTCTGAGCCATTTCTGACCTTGCAGGAAATACAATCTCGTTATGATTTTTGGCCTCATGATTTGCTCACTATTTTCCGGAGTGAATATTCTCGCCTCATCATGAGCAAGAGGATGATCGGTAACGCTCTCTTCCCCGAGAGAACCCATACACGTTTTCTTCCATCTTGCGTTTGGGACGACGCGATCCGCATCTCTGCACTCTTTCACTCATGTTATACACTGTGTAACATTATATGTGCTGTTGTTTTAGCCGTTTTCAAACTCCAACAGAAACTGTGCCAACCATATGGTTTGCGTTATTGATATGATCTAAATAAAGTGTTTATGCGTCTGGAAATTTATTGTTTCTTGCAAAAAAAATTGCCCCTTAATATTAAGGCTCATTTGGTAAGTGCTAAAATGGTAGAGACTTGAATCTGCTGCGAAATTGAATGTTGAAATCTCTTGCTTTTTGTACATAGGAAAATTGATCTAAAATACATTTCTTGAATAAATTAGATCAAATATTATGGTTGAAGTGTCATATTCAGCCAAAAATATAAATAATACGGAGTACTATGTTCACTCTTTTTTACATTTGTGAGATAATCTAGTCGTTGCATGATGAATTTCGTTGTGTCAAAGTAATTGGTGTAATTAAAATTTGTGAATCAACTTAGTCTCTTTAATACTCCCCTTGACTGTGAATTATGAAAAAAGTATATGATGGAAACCATTTTTTTGAGCATCGACCCGACGAACTTGACATCGGGTCGGCACCGCACCAAACAACAAAATTCGGAAAATAAATAAATAAAGCAGAGAGAAAGTATTTATATGTGAAAACTCGAATCGGTAGGAAACCACGGGCTTTTTTAGGCGGTGTCATGCCAACCGGATGAACTTTCATTAATGTTGGGGGAATTTACATATATATCATTGTCGAAATTTAGAGCCATCAATGGAGCTCTTAAACTTAAAATGAGAAGGAGAAAGAATTATAGTACTAGGAGCTCTCCCAATGTAGAAATTGGTTCCCCACCTTTCTCTAGTGGCCTCTTCTTATAGTAGGAGAAGTGAATGAGGTAGTAAGAGACAAGGGATTATGTCTAGGTCCCGTCAAATATATCTTTGGGACCTTGTCAATATTTATATATCTCATCAAATTATCTTCTTCGTCTTCATATCTCTGGTTCCGTCTTGAATAAAATATCTGATTTGTATCTTGGGCCGAACTAAATTGAGCTTATTTGTACAGTTCAAATAATATTAGGTTAGGTAAAATCTCTAATCCATCAGTATATTTATAATGTTAATTTAGTAAAATTAGATTATTTTTAAAATAAAGTTTTGAAATATCAAATTTTTGTAATATTTAATCATTTTGAATTATATTTAATTTGTGGTCAAAGAATATCACAGTTTGACCAAAAAGTTAAAGTGTGACAATCTTTTAGGGACGAGGGGAGTATTATTTTTAGGGGTATTTTTTTTATAATTCTCAATAATATATTTACTAAAAATTATTTCTTTAATATTATCTTCAGTGGGTAGTTTTGAAAAATTCTCAATAATATATTTACTAAAAATTGAGTGGATTTTCAATTCCTAATGTCCTAAAGGTAAAAAGTGTACAACTAAATCTTGAGAGAGAAGTAGTATTAATTACTCCCTCTATTCTTTTAATCATACACTTAGCTAAATTCATTTATTTATAAAAATTTTATGTCCCCTTTCTTAATTTACATTTTAAGAATAAATTTATACATTTATAATAAATACGTAATATGGATTTAGTAAAAATTGAGGTGGATTTATCAACTCCATTTGATAATGGGAAGTAATTTTAAATGCAAATGTGCTCGAGTCAGCCCAAATCTATCCAGCCCAATAAAGCCCAATAAAACACTCTTCATTTCCCCTGCCAGCCCCTTATCGTTTCTCCTCGTTCGATTCCCCCTCCGCGAAGCGACTCCAGCGATCCAGGCAGCCTGCAACGGCGTACGGCGACGGTGACCGACGGTGGCCGTTCCTTTTCTGACCGTATCTCCGCCTCAGGCCTCTCCCATCAGCGCGAGGCTCCACTTCTTCAGTTAGGGTAAATCTTAAAATTTTTATATTTTTTGTTCTTAATAGGCTTCTTAATGCTCATGTACTTTGGTGAAGTGAGTATATAATTACTAAAATTGCAGAATATATTTTTTTAAACATCATTAAAATTGTGTATCTATCAGTGGATTGGATGCATCCAATATTGGGTTGTTTTTCATTGTTGCTTAATAGTTGTTATGTGAAATCTTACTAATATGAATTTTGGAGTGAAGCTGTTAATTTGAAATTGTTAATGTGAAGTTTGTAATGTGAAATTGTTAATTTCATAGTTAAAATTTGCCTAAAAATGATATCAATAAGAATTGTGGAATGAAACTGTTTGATGTGAGAAAATTTGAGAAAAGTGAGTGTTTCAAAATTACTAGAATAGAATTTCAAAGTGAAACATTTTAAAATTTCAAGAATAGGAATATAGGATAGAAAGTAAAACTGTGAAATATTTAAAATATGATAATTATATTAAGATATGATGCACTTTGTGAATTGTAATTTTTTTGGAAAATTTTTTATTTTAATTATTTGAATGCTTGTTTGAGATTTAGTTGTTTTTCTTTCTATCATTTTTCATTGCCTTAAAATTTTTTTTGAGGCTGATGTCCCTGGACCCAAGTACTTTTCTAATCTTTGTTCACTAGAGGTGCCCCAGTCTCCTTTTTTTGCTGGATCTGCCACGGTCTGGTATTTTCACCTAAGTTTTCCCCCTCTACATTCCACTGCATACCCTTTGTCTAGCATTTTTGTGGGTTCTAAACAGATCCTCAATCTTTTTGAAATTTTCCATTTGTGCAATTTGAGGGGTTCTTCGAGGGCCACTAAATGCATAAATTACAGTTGAGTGTCTGGTGCTCTTGAAGTGCTCTCCTTTTCTTTCACCTATGTGAGAAGGGAATTCGAGGTGGCAGAGAGGATTTTGTTCTCAGTCTTTTCCTTGGTCTAACTACTTCATGTTGGGTTTAGTTTAAACTTTTTTTTATTTAGGCCATCCAAATAGAGGTTGGAGGCTATTCAAAGATGAAAAATAAGTTTTTTCAAACAAGAACCCTTTTTATGAGTACGGCTTATGGAAAAATTGTTATCAGGTATTTGGTTTTATATAATTTAAATAAACCTACATCGAAAAATCAATTTTACCTGTACTCCCAAAAGCTTGTATTTATTGGTACCCTAAGCATTCATTATAACATTCGTTTATTTTTAAACCACAACAAGTTAATATCGTATGTGCATTAATTGAGCATTCATGGGGAGAGGTAATCTTACTCTTTGTTTCCCCCCCAAGTGGTTTTTAGATAATAAGCCAAATAAGTGAAACGACATTTCGTAAAATGAAGTGATTGTGAGTTAATACTTGAATTGTTACTTACACCTTCATCTCTTAATCCTCATAGGTCTGTGAAATTTGAGAATTTGGATTGCATTTTTCCAGCAAGATCTGAAGAGGTTAAATCATGTCAACTGCAATGGGGCTTGAATCTCTTGTTAATCGTATGTAAAAAAATCTTACTGTGTTAAGTATGCTGTTTGGTTTTACTTTTATCTAAAAAATTACCTTTGTTTGGTCCAGAGACGATATCAGTAATTACCAATGATGGGCGAAACATAGTGGTGAGTTTCATGAACTTTCAAACTTGTTCTTTGTTTCTTATTAATTAACACTGCTTGTTTCAATGAATTCGGAAGTGAGAATAAAAGAAAATGATAAGGAAAAACAATTTTTGTGTTTGGTTTGGATAGGAAAAGAAAATAAAATTGGAAGGAAAAGAATAAAAATGAAAATTGTGATTTTCCTTCCATTCTTGTGAGTAAAATCAGAGAAAACCACTCCTCTCTCCCCCCTCCCTCGTCCCCCCATCCCACCCTCCTCATCTTTTAACAATGCCTTTCTTGGACTTATTGATAAGGAATTTCTTCACCAGTTTCCCGACCAAACTAACCAAACATGCTTCAGATTTTTGGTTTCTTTGATTTTCTTCTCTTTTCCTTAGCATTTTTCTTTCTTTTCCAGTCCCCTGAACCAAACGTAGTGTTACTAAAAAGAAAATGCATATGCTCTCACTTGCTGGAATCCATTTTTTTGCTCAGGGAATCTTGAAAGGGTATGACCAGGCCACAAACTTAATTCTTGATGAATCTCATGAAAGGGTGTATTCAACCAAGGTCTGGCTTAACAATTAACATTACTATTATTCGCCCACTTTTGTGTTGAATTCATAACTTTTTTCTAGTTGAGGATCATATACTTTCACTTTTGGTCCTTTATTCCACATTTAGTCCACATTTGGTGCACGACACTATCGACTTGTTGCCGCTCTGGCAGCTTGGCGCTTTCGATCACGTATTTGGCCATTGAGTGGGACGTAATAGCGATGGGACCAAAAGTGATATATTTTGTATTATCATGTAACAAACCAGTTGTTTTTGAAATGCAGGAAGGGGTACAACAACTTGTCTTGGGACTTTACATTATAAGAGGGGACAATATGTATGTGCCTATCATCTCTCTCTCTCTCTCTCTCTCTCCCCCTTCAATTGCATTAGAATAATGATGATGATGGGTCTATTTGGACTGGCCCAAATATGCACAGTGGGTTAGACCCAATATACTGTCCATTCCCTAACTGATAGTGTAATCAAGCCCAAACCACTGAATCCCATACGCTTGGCAAGAGAATTCAGCCCATGTGAAGTAGGCTTGGGTTAGAAGACAAATTTGATGATCTCCACTATTCCCCCCCCACGCCCCAATGATCGCTCATGATCATGGGGCATGTTCGCATGCCTTCCAGTGATGTGGGAGACAGTTTCTTGCCGTTGAGCAGCCCATTGATCTCTCTATAAATATAACATTTCCAAGCCTGGAGGAGGAGTTTGCATTCTTGTGATATACAATGACATAATATTGCTTCATCTGTCCCTCATTTTATCTCACTTTTCCAGTACTCGGTCATTATTACTCGGGGCATTATCTTAAATCTTAATTCCAATGGACTAACATTCGTAATTATAATGATAATAATTATAATCTCAAGTGTTTAAGTGTTTGAAATATGCAGTTGCGTTGTTGGGGAATTAGACGAAGAGCTGGATGCAAGCTTGGACTTGTCTCAACTAAGAGCTCATCCCTTAAAAGCGGTTGTCCACTGATTTTCTTTGTATGGAATCAGAATGGATCAAGCTCTCCTAGTCACTTTTTTTTTTGTTTCCAACAATTTTAGGAAGCCATGTTTTTTTGGACATTCTTGGATATGTTCTCTTTCTAACTGAACTTTAAAATGTTGATCTAAGCTGAATGCTTTACTTTTGAATCCCATTTGATGTGCATCGAATCTAATTGATGAGCACTTGACTAAGTGCAAAGCCAAAAAGAACGCGCTCGTTTTTTTGAGGGATCTAACCTTAGATGCGTTCGGTATGTTTCGTTCACTTTTGGCTCTTTTAGGTCACTTCTGTCATATAACATTTGGTTTGCTTGAGGCTCTTGAAGTCACTTGTGTGATAATTTGGCCAAAAAAGACTAAAAAGGCTACAAGTGACATGAAATCTTGAACACAAATGAATATAGTGCCAATAGTAGAAATGAGCTAATAATAGTTAGTGCCAGGATAACTAGCATTGTGTTTTTTATAACTAAATTGATATCTCAAAACATATCTCGGCACAAAAGTAACCTAAACCCAAGCATAATCTGGACTTAATAGCTTGTTTTCTTCAATTTATTACTAATTTTGATTTGAATTAGATAAAAAAGCTTAAAATACAATTACATTAAACCAAATTCGATCAGAATTTATCGCAATCAGATCATTTGAAGAGAAATTCCAAAATCAACAAATGATTCTATTCAAAATCTAAAACACATGCAACCATCTACAAAATTGAACTGAAAATCTACAAAATTTGCTTTCAGAATCAGATCAAGCCAAAATGGCTCTCAAAGTCTACTTGTTGCTCTTCTAGGTGACACTCCATGGCAAAATCTGGAAGTAGAAATCAACTCCGGATTCTGAAATGGAAAATTTACAGAATGAACTTTTTTTTCAGACTGAAAGTGAACTAAATGGCACTCAAGTCTCTACCTATTTTGCCCCTCTTCCACCTCAGACTCTTCTTCACCCTGGGTTGGGTCTCCCCTTCGCCCGCGACGCCCCATGGCGACAAGATGAAGAAGCTTCCTCCTAGCATCATAAACTGGGTTTGGCTCAACAAGGCAACCCCTCTCATAAGCCTCCCTGAGAAAAACAGTGTGCCTATACCCTTTTGTTGACAGGTAAAAGATCCCTGGGTGATCCAGAAAAAGGTCCCTTATGTTCATATCGATCCCAAACCACCGCCGGAAATGGCTGATCTTCTCCACCTCCACCATCTTCTCCACCGTCAAGCTCAAGAACTCGTGAACTATCCCCACCGCTCTCTTTTCCTTCTCCGTCATTCCCCTCTTGCTCATCGTCTTCTTCTTCTTCACCTCCTCCTGGCATTCGAATTCATCGTATGGCCCTGTGTACGGTAACCCCTGCCATTGTTTTACCCTAGCCTTGAAATCCCTCTTCAATATCATTCCCGGAGGATACGAATGTTTGAAGCTGTAGAGGATTTCGGTCCTATCCACGCTGCAATCGTCTCTGCAGCACTCCTTGATCCTCCAATCTTCGACGGAAGCGACCAGAGTGTTTTTAGGGATTTCGGTTACGAGTTTCAGTACATGCGTGTTGGGCTCGTTTCCTTGGCCGAGTGCGAATACGTTAGGGTTTGATGATATCACAGAGGTCTCGAAATCGTCTGGAAGACCAAGCTCTTTCCAGATCTTGAAGATGGCGCGAAGCGGCACCGTTTTGGTGAGGGACATGGCGAGAAGCTTGATTAGGCGGTCGATGACGAGATGCTGGGAGGAATTGATGGATTGCGATTCTAATCGAGAGATTTCCATGGCGGTTTTGGTGAGCGAGCAGTGGGGTTGAGATCTGGCGGAGTTGTAGAATATGTGGAAGATGTGAGGGTACCTGCGGAGGAAGGCGGTGGCGCCGCGGTTGAGGTGGAGCCTCTGGGACAGGCGGTTGAGGAAATCGACGGAGACGGACGGCGGATCGGAGCGGCTGGCGAGGATGAGATCCTGGATGGCGATGACTCGGAGCAGGTTTTTGTATTTGTCCATGAGCTTCTCGAAGGTGATGTCCCTTGCTCTCGACGCTACGTACGCCGCCGAAGTGGTTTTGCAGCGGCGGAACTGGAGGGTTGCAGGGTCGGCGGCGGCGCCGGTGGTGGTAGGTTTTGAACTAAGATTCCTCAGGATACGTATTGCCATCGCTTGAGCGGCTACTCCGCCGCCGAGTTGCGGCGGTTCGAGTCTGCCGACCCTGAACGAAATGGTTGGCCAGAGAGGTTTTTTTTGTCACGATAACATCAGAGCTCAATATATATGTTACAACGATAGGCGAAAAGAACAGAGGAGCAATGGGCGAAGGGAACAAATGAGCTAAGGAGAACTGAGAGCGATCCAATGAACTGACCTGAGGGAACGGTTCTCTACCGTAGCGGCGAGATCTGAGGTGGACTGACTGACTGAGACAGCTCAAAAAAATAGCAATAATATACACTACATTGTTTTAGAACGAATATTACGTTGTTCATAAATGAATACGGAGTGTTATACTCCCTCTTAAAACTATCTTCCTGTTTGTGTTTACGAGGTTTGACCGACTCTATTTTTAATTCAATCTATTTGATTATAGGTGTAAAATTAAAAAGTAAAATTTATATATTTAAAAACTACATCAAAAGTTCTACAAAACAAGAGGTGACAAGATTGTATTATTTTATCAAATAACTAACGAAAATAGGTAAAGAAAATGATCTACGTTTGACCGTGTGAATAGTAACCGGAAAGATAGTTTTAGGACGGAAGGAGTAATTGTAATGAACAAATATGAAAAAATAAATACTACGTTATTTCAGAATGAACACTGCATTCATTTAAAATGTGTAACTCTAAATACACTGCCCCGTGAAGGCCATGTTCGGTAAGAAGAATACGAGAAGAAAAATGCTTCGGGCACTGGAAATGCTTCTAATGCTCGGGGGTGTTTTTTCCGGTTTTAATGTCTCGTGCGTTAAACACTGCCCCTTTGGATTTCATCGGGGCGTTAAGGCTCATGCGTCAAACGTTTAACAGACGAATGCAGCGCCCCCCTCCCTTCCAACAACTATAATTCCGTTACATATTTTTGAAAAAAAATCCTTTTCTATAAATTCATTCTTTTTTTAAAAAATAAAACACACAAATACAAATCTCTCTCTCTCTCTCTTATTTCTTAAAAAAAGGAATTCTTCAAGTTTTTCTCTTATTTTTATCATGAATCCCTCCGTTCCTCAGTTTTGTCTTAACTCTTAAGCCAAACGAGTACGCAATGTAGCTTTACCAAACGTACGGGAATAATCTGGTGTTTTTCGGTACGCAAACCTCAGTGAATCTAGAGGACTCAGAGTCGGTTCTGGAGACTCAAGCGGAACTAAGTGCACCAAAAAAATTACTCACCGGAAGAGTCACAAACTGAAGACCGAAAAGTCGATGACCGAGGCCGCACGATACATTCAAAAGTGGACACCAGAGACAGAATCGTTGTTGGCATTCGCTTGGGTTGACGTCTCAGAGCATCCTGTCGTTGGTAAAATTTATATGTTTTTAATATATATTGTATATATGTTCTTTTTTATATATTTGTGATAAATAATGAAATCTTATTAATTTAATTTTAAAAAATATGTATTAAAAATGTAAAAAAATAAAGGTCTGAAGCTTCAGTTTGAAACTCTAGAGCTTAAAACCTATTTCCAGTAAAATTGTGATATAAGTTAAATGGTCATTAAAGCTGGTGTGGAAGATAGAGAAGGTTTGAAGTCATTTCTAATGGCTGAATTGTAGAGTAATTATTTTTTTCAAATTAAAGTTTCTTAGTTTCATAAAAAAGTTCTATATTTTTTTCAGCTCGTCTTAAACAAAAGTCTCGCTTTCATCATTTGAAAAAAGTTTGAAGAAATCTTATTTTTATCAAATACTAGTATTACACCCGTGCGTTGCATATGTCATTTTTATGTTATTAAATTCAAATCAGTTTTCAATGATAAAAAATGAGATGCAATAAAATATAGAGATTATATTACTTTAAAGTACAAAACATCACTCCTTTACAAATTTCGAAAGACTTCTTTATAGACTACATTATTTGCACAATTTGTGAGAATATTGTCTTAATTGCATATCAGAATCTTCAACCCACTACGATTAGTTACTCTTGAAACTGCAACATAGAGTTGTCCATGACTAAAACATGTTGGATTATTGTTACGAAAACCTGTGATAAACCCTAATTGCTCGTAGCTTCATCATTAACATTGATGACCGCTCATCAACATTTTTCAAAGCAGTTAAGATCCCTATTTTTCGTAGGAATGACTGTTTTGAAACGTAAGGGAAAAAAGTTCACGATGAATGTAATGACTATGAAAGCTTTGTAAATGGATGTATTTATGATATGATTTTTGCATACGGGGTTAAAAAAATTATTCATTTTTCAAAGTGCTATAACGAATCTAAATTACTATTACTATATGTAAATTATTTAATTTATTATATTTAAAATTACTATAATTAAAATGACACGGTAATTAATACGGAGTATACAATTATCTAGTCACACAGTTATATAATTAATACCATGTTTAACTATTACCTTTTTTTTTATTAAAATTACTATAATTAAAATATGGTAAAATATAGCCATTATAAAATATAGCCAATATAATTAAAATATAGCCATTATAAAATTACTATTATAGAATTACTATAATTAAAATTACTATAATTAATTTGACACGGTAATTAACATTTAATTACTATAATTAATTTGACACGGTAATCACACGTAATATACAATTTTAATTAAAATTACTATAATTAAATTACTATAATTAATTTGACACGGTAATTAATTAGATTTCATTAATAGCGTGCTTAATATCATAATTTCGAACACTTATAAAAATAATAATTTTTTACCGTGCTTATAAAAATTATAATTATATTAACTTCACAATTACCATTTTATATTACTATAATTTCAAACACTTACCATTTAATTTCACAATTGCCATATGTAATGGCCATAATTCGTGCACGGGTTAAAAATGGACACTATAATTTGGGACACTTACCATTTATATAGGTAATAATTGCACGGTGTAATAATTATTACATTTTTTGGTTATTACCTTTTTGCTATTAAACATAAATATAAATATTTATATTTAAAGGGTTTTACCGTATTAATTTTTTCCCGAAACTGTGTGTATAATTATTCTTACCATAATTATATTATACTATAATCATACACATGTTTTTATATAACCTAGTAACATGGTAATCATATAATTATATATTTATGGTAAAAATAATCATACACACGTTTTTAATAGCATTGATTGGCGTGTATTAAAGTTTATAAATATTTTTTATAAATAATTTTTGCCTATTTTATAAATATTTTTTATAACTTACCTTTCTTGCTAGTATAAATTTTGAATACTTTAAAAATGATACAGTTAATTATTATAAATATAATATAATAATTATACTTATAAAACGTAAATTCTATATTACTATAATTTTTGGACACTTACCAATTTAACTTCACATTACCATATGTAATGACCATACTCTTTGGGCGGGAAAACGCAATATTGACTCCATGTCTTTTTAAATAAAGTACGGATTCCATAAATAGAATACAATATTAAAGTCGACTGAAACTAAGAGAGAGACTTGTGAGATTATATTTAAGAGTTGAAATATGGACATTCTCACACTTTTCATTGGGTTACAAGTAAATTTTTTCTTTTTTTGTATAAGCCTAATTCTTTTATGCTGTTTATGTGCTAAGATCCATAAAATGAATGTGAACCTAAGATCCGCGAAATAATTAACCTATTTTTAATAATGTGAACTTTAAAGCCATCAACATGATATGGAGATTCGCAGGAACAATATTCTTTGGATATGAAGTAGCAAGTACTAATTAGAATAAATTCCATTTTGTTGTGTATGGAGTATGGACTAGTCTCCTCCCATAAAAATTTCACTATTTTATTTTCAGCCCCAAAAGGCAAAAAATACCGTCTGTTTGGTATACGGAATTGATGAAATTCGAATTAAATTAAAAATTAAAATTATATGAAATTGATTAGAATGAAATTGAAATCTACTTCTAATTCATTTTTTGCACTAACAATTCCTAATCAACATATTTTTGTGTTACCAAACAATAGAATAGAAATTATTGTCCTCAATTCCTATTCCACAGTTTGAATTTCGTGTAAACCTTGTTACCTAGCTATATAAACACGGAGTAATTAGTATTGAGCCAAATCCACCGCAAAAAAAACACAAAAAAAACATCTTATTTTGATTTTGGTTCTGATAGAATAGAATGATATGCTTGTTGCTCGTGTGCGGCCGAGATGAGAGGGTGGCGGCACGGTGGCCGGCGGCGGGAGTGTGCCCTATCTGCGGCGGAGCAGTTCAAGCCGTCGTGGTGGAGAGCCAATGGAATTTCTGCTTCTTTCCTCTCTACGCAAAAACCAAGCAAAAGTTTTACTGCACCAGCTGTTTAAGCCGCTTGATTCTAATTCAGGGAACAAATCAATTCCGCATTATTATTCGATGTATATAGCTAGGGAAAGTAAGTATATATGAACATATTTCGCGATAATGCTTCAAGATAACGTTTGTGTTTCTTTGTTTTTATAAATTGGTTAAAACTGATAACGTTTCTGTTTCTTTGTTTTTATTTTTAATTTATAGGTGAGCAGATACGCGTTTCTCTGTGCTTTTAAACTGACTTATAAGGTGTTTATAACCCAGAAAAAATAAGTATATCTTACTTACTTATTTTTAAATCAGTTTTTTCGTTTCTTCATTTTGATGAGATTACTTGCAAAATTATCTCTCACCTATTATGAGTATTCCCAAATGACTTATATACCATTTAAGTCATTTAATCTACATAAAAAAATTTAATTTATAACCAACTTATAAATTAAAAACTGCTTATAATTTATAAATAATAAGTTAATAAACATAGAGAATCACCCACATAGTTGTAAAAGAATTGAGTTAAGTACGGAGTATATATATTAAATATGGTTAAATATGATTTTAGTCCTTTTTTTATCTTCGTTAATTTTGTTAAACCCTCATTAGAAAATTTTTTATTTTAAAAATTGTCCTTATACCTAGTTAGTACTTCTAATCTTGCAATTCCAATTACCTTAAACACAATAAAACTTTTTTAATATCATGTACAACAACATGGTAATCAGCCGCCATGCCATATTGTGTCCTCAATATTTATGGAGACGAGGCAATCCATGTGCGTTCCACCCCCTTTCCGTGGTAGGTGTGAGGCAATTGTTCTCATTTTTTCTTTTTTCTTTTATTTTTAGAAAATAAGAAGCATTTTTGTAAGAAATTTTCAAGGAAGACATTTTTATTACAAAATACATGTATAAAATAATTTTTAATAAGTAAAATATGCCAAAAAAGTGTAAATGTGATAAAAATAATGACTTGTCATTACAGGACATGTCACTTTACTCATTTGTCACACAGTGACTGAACTAATTTTAATTGACTAAAAAGTTCCACATCATGGCGTGAGATTACATTTCTTGTCATTGTACTTGCTCTTACCCTAATGGCCTAGTGTTTGGGATTGATGAAACCGTATCATCCATCAAGTGCACATTACTTCTATAACCATTGCAAATAAAACAATTTTAAAATATAAATATTCTTTGAACAAAAATATGAAAGTTAGTGTTATACACCATCATAACTCAAACCATCAAAAGACACTAGATTAATACTCCGTACTTTATAAATGATTCACTTCATGATTTATACCTGAAAATAATTATGCATCTCAGTGTTTATTATACATTTAAAATCGTGTTTGATTAGTTGTCAAATTTTTTGATTACAAATAAAAACACAAAACATTCGATTAAAATCGGTTGTTGATATACTTGGTATAATTTTTTCGAATACAAATAAGAATATTGAATAGATTCAACTCAATTAATTTACAAATTAGCTGCAACTATTTAATATATATTGAAGCATAATCAGAAAATATTTGATTGAATTTTTTCATAATTATATTTACATAATTTAAGATTAATTGATACCATAAGTTGACACTAGACAAAGATAGATCAGTATGATAAGCAATATAGATTTTTGTATGTATTACCACATATCTATATATTGCAACTCTTTAAAGTGACTAATAAAAAACGAATCAAGAGGACAAAAACCCATCAACCCTTGCATTGTTTTTCCTAGACAAAAACTTCATGCAAATTGGTGGATTCACCCCAACCAAAGCCAGCACAGATTGAGGCAAAGTCCAAATCCCATCCCCACATATCAGCCCGGACGCGACCGCGGGTGCGAACGCCTTGGCCTTCCTCTTGTTCACCGCTCTCCAGATGAAGAGGATCAGGCTTCCGACGCACATGTCGATGGCGAAGTAACTCCCGAGATAGAACGGTATCGCCATCGCCATCGGGATCGGGATGAACCTCGCCCACTTCTTCCCCACCGCGTCCCTTATGCCGTTAACGATGATGGACCCTGCGAAGAAGACGTAGCATAGTGTGAGGCAATTCTTCGGCAAGGCCGAGAAGCCTTCGACCCCCAAGATGGACATGTTGCGGTAGACTAGAGCGTAGGGCGCGGGGTACTCGGACCCGGGCTTGCCCAAGTCGTGGAATGCGTTGTAGAATAGCCAAAACACACAAGGGGAGATCACGCACCCCATCGCGGTCCCGATTATCTGGCTCACGAACATGGACCGAGGGGATGCCAGGGTCAAGTACCCGGTCTTGAAGTCTTGCGTGAGGTCCGAAGCAGTGGAAACGATGTTCATCATGACGCCGCATGCAGCAAGTCCGGCGAGGACGCCGCCGTGGGCCGCCCCTGCCCACGCCCCTATCGTGAAGATTGCAAGCTTCCCGTACGTGGATGCCAAGGACCAATCTGTCAGGCCCGCTCCGTAGGCATTACAAAAGGCGAGCACGGGAGCGAGAATGTATATCACAACAATGTAGTACCACTTGAGCTGGTGGAAGATGTGCGGGAGCGATATCGTCGAGATCACGGCAATCACAACGTAACCAGAAACCGCAAACCACATCGGGATTTGGTCCTTGAGGAAAATCTCTCTCCTTCGCTTGTCGTCAGCCGACACCGGAGGTTCGTCAATAGGAGATTGTCCCGCGACCGGAAGGACATACTTGTTTCTCATTTGGTGATACAATCCATACAGTGTGTGTCCCAACACCTTGCAAAAATTGTAGAGACCATCTCCGAGAATCATGGCAATTGCTATGAAAACCTGCACTCCATCAAATCAAATCAAACCAGAAACAACTTTTTCAAAACCGAATCAAAATAACAACAAACCCAGTAAAATACGGCGACAATATTACTTACCCGATAACCTTGCAAGCCATGAAGGCTACCCTCACTGAGATCTGCTGGGAACCAATGACCCTTTTGGTCCTTTATGAGAGGCCACATGATCCCCCATGAAAGGATTCCACCAAGCAACACAGAAATGTTGATCAAATATGGACAGATCATCCCAACACCAACATATGTGGCTGAGAAATCAAAGTAAAACTTGCTTTCATATGCTTTGAGCCCAAATGTGGGAAAATTTGCAAACCCACATGCATCCCCTGCGGTAAAAAACCACTGGAAAAAACCCCAGAGGAAGCTGAAGGTGAAACATTTCCCCAGTGCTTTAACTTGCTTCCTGCACAATTGATTGGAAGGTAGAACAGAGTTTTTTAAAAAAACGAGAAGGGTATAATGGTCATACTAACTCTAGAAGTTAGTGTATAGTACTTTGCCAGTTTAGCTCCTTTTGGGGTGTGAAAGCTGTTGATTAAGTGTGCAGTTGCTGTTCCACTTGGGTATGTGAGTTTGAAGTCAATGATCATTATCTGAGACATCAAACATGTAAGAAATTATCAGTGCTTAAGGTATGAATGAATGCACACACGATTTATATCTATATTCATTCAATTTTTGATGTGTCATGATAATCATATAAAAGTGAACAGAGGGAATATATGCTCCGTCCGATAAATATAAAACGAGCATATAAAATGCAGTAAATCATATTAAGCCGAGATGATATACCTTTCGAAGAGGGACAACTGAAAAGAGCCCAAGAAAGCTAACAACAAAAAGAAATCCAATCATCCAAACAAGCCCTGGCTGTTTGATGTTCTGAGCAGTGTTTGCTTCGGTTGATTGACTCGCCACAATATCACTCATTCCAAACATGTAGCTTCCAAAGCCTCCTGCTCAATTGAATGATCATTTAGTCTAATGGCCTGTTTGGGAGGAGGGAAATGACTTTCGAAAGTCATTTTTCATTTTTCAGTGTTTGGTTATTCTGAAAATTGAATTCCAAAGTCAAGAGAAAATGAAACTTATTTGGAGTATTGTCTTCCCTATTTTACGGAATGTATTTTCTCTCTTCCTGTATTGTAAATCACCACGTCTTATTACGTTATAACAAGAAAAACTATTTTTTCTTATTTTAAAACATTCAAACAAACACTTGAAATCTTTGAAAAATGAATTTATTTTCAGAAAGTCGTTTTTTCAGAATTCATTTTCCAAAAAAATATATTTTTGAAGTCATTTTTCATCTTTAAAGACTGACTCAAAGATATGTTTGGACTCCATAAACTAACCTATGGATTCCAACCGGCATTTTTTACTTCGTAGTTAAGATACCTTCAATGGGTCGGGTTTAGACTTTAGACCCAAACCCGAATAAAACCGCATCTTTTTAGCAAGCTTGAGCCTCTAAAAAATTGGTTTATCCATATCCAAAGCCGTACCCGTTATTTATTTCAAATAAAGGGTCGGGTATAGTGCAACTAGTTCAGACCTGTTTACATAATATATACCAAAAATATTGTTTTTGTAATTCTACACAATCCAAGTGTAATCGAAAAGGCCAACTTCGACCACATGTAAATAATATCCACACATCAAACTATCCATGACCATGACATTTGAAAGCCTCAATTAAGAACTACAGACTGAGAAATGTCGGAAAAGTTAATTGTCCATTACTTTTTTTAGTTATTTTATTATAAAAGATATATGGAATAACAATTATCTAGAATCTGAAATTTTTTGTTTGAAGGAAGACTATCATACAAACAATGAAATACTATCATAGTGTGATACTAGTCTCATTTTGTTAATATTCAATTCATATATTTTTCTTTTGTGGTATTTGTACTGATTTTTGTTAAAATTATAAAGTGCAAGATTTGAACTTTTATCATGGGTATAACCGACCCGATACCGAGACGGAGACTCGATAGGTCCAAATTTAGTATACAACATCAAGATCTGTTGGATAAATGTGTGCAGATTGGATACAGATATTTTATGAGTACAAGTATGGAATCATGATTCGGCTCGAACCCGGCCCATTGACAGACCTACAAACAAAGAAAATAATGCAAAAAAGAAGAAGATATTTTCTAGTGCTTTGGTTTACTACGGTCCATGAAACGTCAAATAAAAACAAAAAAAGATATTATTAGTGTTTTAAATGATTACTTATGTTGAAATCTGTGGGTAAATAAAACCAATCTGAACACATCAAAAGAAAAGTTTGAAATAAAATTAAATAATGACTTTGACATTTAATAAGCATGGGAGAGATGATGCATATACCCATTCACATCATTCACATGCAGGGGTCTACTCTTTCCCAAAAAAACAATTTTCATTTTTCTCATTTTTTCATTTTCATTCATTCAAAATTTGTACATTTTTTTCTCTTCTTTTAAAAAATGTGATTTAGAATGCTTGTCTCTATTATACGAATTCAAACAACTCACTTTTCATTACTCAATATCTTTTCAACTCTTATTTTTAGAAGTTAAAGCAATAAAATTAATTTGGAACATTAGTCGACAAAATCTGGTCTAAAATTTATTCGGTATTAAATGATCAAAAGTCAACTTTTCACGTTATAATGAGAGCCAACTGGCAAAAATTCAAACACACAAATCAATTGTCACTAGTCAACCATAAAAGTGTACACACATATGGAGTACTCCCTCCGTCCGGAAAAATTCTTCCAATTTGACTTTTCACGGGTCTACAATATTGCACTTTGACCATTAATATCTATATTTATACATAGATATATTTTATAAATATTTGATATTTGAAAACTACGTTTCATTATGAATATATTGATATTAAATTTATACCATAATACAATGTGTTTTTTCCACAAATCGTAGTCAAAGTTTATAAACTTTGACCAAGAAAAGTCAAATGTGAAGAACATTTCCGGACGGAGGGAGTATTTCTCTTCCGCTCTTCCCAAATTAAACTTTCCCCTTTGAATTTTATACAGTTAAAAATATTTTAATTTTTCCCTCTTTCCATCCCAAATTTTATTTTTGGCTTTGATTTATAGTTTTTTTAAAATGCAAATTGTAGTTGAGATTTATGCACTTAAAAGAAAGATAATATCAATCAACCAATACTCACTTTAAAAAAAGGAATGATAAATTCATTTTAAGAAAACATAAAAAGGAAAGTGAGAAATTTTCGGATGAAGTATTACACACCTCACCATTTTGGGAAGTCAAAAATAGGAAAATATAATAAGAGCAATAAATGCCTAAGATATTGTGATTAATGAGATAAAACAAATTAATGGACTCACAGTTGGGTCCAGCATTATGTGGGCCCACATTCTGTGTGAACATAGAAAAATGTTTATAAACATTATTTCAAATTTTGAACTACACTGTAAAATTTGTCTATATTCTTGTTTGGAAACTGCAATTTTAATTAGCATTAGCAGTTTATATATGCAAAGCTAAAGATAAACACTAAAGTTGTAACAGACCCTATGTTATTCAAAATTTTAGGAGTAATTTAAGTTCAATAAGCATGCATTTAGCTAATTTCATGAACATATAATGTTCATATCAAAATTCTGATTATTTCCAAAATAAAATAAAAATGGAGGTGAAAGAAATAAAAAGAAAAGAAGATTCTTTCCTCTCTATTTCAAGATTTAGTCCAAACATCCTTTCTGTCATTGCCCTCAAACAGTAACCAATATTCTTTTTGGAGAAAGTTTGTTACTCCCTCCATCCCGAATTGGATCTCAGTCTCACTACTCACTATCACGTCTTCTCGATAACTTTTGTTAATTTGTATATTTTCATTAATAATTTGATAGAATAAAATATTCTTGTGTTTTATAGAGTTTTTTATGTACTTTTAAATGGTGTTTAGTAATACTTTTTTATTTCTGTGCTAATTTGTAATTAAAATGATTTTCAAAATGATAGGACTTTGAATGTTGTTTGGAATGTGGTATCTAATATAGTATAGGACGGGGGCTTATGACATCAATAATGGTGTTCTCATGTGCATGGCTTCCTATGGATGTTGTGGAAGGAAAATGCTAGGGGTACACCAAAAGTGTACCCCAAACATCCCCACCCTCTCCATCACCACACAAAAAAAGCAAAAAAATTCAAAAAAAAAGTAAAAACTAAAAATAAATTAAAATGAATGGTAAAGAGGGAGGGTGGTGTACATTTGGGGTACACCTTTGGTGTACCTCTAGCATATCCCTTTGTGGAAATGACAAAAACAACCTTCTCTATTGTACTCTCCTTGTTAGTCAAACTAAGACTATAACTCAATTTACCTCGAGTGGGTTTATTTTTATTGGAAAAAATGAAATGAATTTAAAATTTGAAGGAAAAAGATATATGAACATTTACAGAACATTTATGTCTGTTTGAAAATAACATTAGAATTAACATTAGGGTGAGAAATTACCACTAAAAGCAATGCCGGAGGAGGCAACGACGCAAGTCTGGATCACAGTGTTCTCTTGGCGGGTAAAGGGCTGTTTGAGGAGCCCAGATTTTCCGAGAAGCTTGGTCCAACTCTTGAGGAAGAAGAAGCCCAACAGGCCGGCGGAGACGTTGAGAGAAGGAATGATTCCGGTGGTGAGATTCAGCTTCATCACTATGAATGTGAACAGGACGCTCAAGGCCAGGCTCACCATTAACGCCCTCACCGTCAACTGGTCCCGCCATGGCAGGACCTTCTCTCCAGATCCTTCGAAGATCTTCTCTACCGAATCGCAATCGGCCCCTTCTTCTTGTTCTCCTCTTTCTCCGGCCGGGTATCGATCCCTCCGTGAGACGCTGGCGGATCGATCCATTGGCGGCGGCTGGGGCGGCCGGATCTGGAATGTAGAGTAATGGCGGTTGGGGGAAAAGCAGAGTTTTGTGTGAGGAGAGAGTGTGAGGGAGAGGGGAGCGTTTACTTATTTATTCTTTCTCGAATATTTGGTGGGTTGGACTTTTCTATGTGTCATAAATGTATGGAAAATGTTAGGAGTGTATTTCAAAAAGGAACATGCTAGGGTGCCACTACATGGGTGCTACCATGGGTGCACCCATGCTTCGCACAGACAAACACAGACGATAATTGTCTGTGCGACACAGACAATTATTGTCTGTGTTTGTCTGTGCAAAGAATGGATACACCCATGGTAGCATACATGTGGGGCACCCTAGCATTTTCCTTCCAAAAATCCCTCAACTCCTACATAATCACAAAAATTTGCAAGTAAATTTAAAAAGATAAATAAAAATGAATAGTAAAGAAGTACCTAATATGTAATGTATATTTAGGGTACACCAAACTAACATTTCCTTGGATGTATTGTTCTCACTAAACAAAGTTTAGGAGTATTTATTTGCAAAAAATTGCACTCCTTATCTTGGGCTCTATTGTTTTTCAATATAAATTATGGATTATCTTAAAATATCTAAAAACTTTTTTATTTGTCATATTTTTTTCATCTCTCTGTCAAAAATAGAATTAAAAAATAGTGAAAATATTAAAATTAAGAGATTCATATTTTTTATCCCAAAATCAAATTATAATGCCAGTATATAGTATCAAAGAAATACAGTGGGATGCCGCTATACAGTGTTATAATGTTACAGTACAAATTTCTACTTTGAGATAAAAATATTAAACTACTATTTTGAATATAAATGTTATGTTTTACTTCTATTTAAGATTATTTATTTCCAAAAATTTGTTGTTGGGTACTCCAAATAAAAATAATAATAATAAAAGAAGGAAAAAAAGATGATGATTGTGGAACAGCTAATGAAGACCAACACCACCTGTTCTTTGAGTGTGAATATGCTAAGGGCATACAAAGAAGTATTTTTTCTTGGCTCAAATTCCAGTGGTGGAGGGCAAAAAATGCTAAAAAGTCACAAAGAGAGCTCTCGTGTATTAGAGGAGGGAGAAGAAGGCAGGGCATTATTGCTGCTTTTGCTGCTAGTTGTTATGCTATTTGGATAGCTAGGAATCTGAAGATTAAGCAAGATAAATAAGTGGCAAGTGAAGGATGTGTTAAATGGATCCAGTTTCAAATTAAATCATATATTAATGTAAAGCTGAAGTGCATGTATTTGAACTGATTTCGGAGTAGAAGCTCTTGTAGAATTGGGGGATTTGTACAAGTACTGTTTGGTGATAATAAAATTGCACGTTTGTTTCAAAAAAAGATGATGATGACGACGACGAAGGTGATGATGATGATGACGGAACAAGTTGGTATGAGAGAAGGATGGACGGAAAGTCTCTCTTGGGTAAATTTTTGGATAATTTAAGGCATTCCAAACTTTATTTAAAAAACAATGGGTCATGCAAGTTTTTGCCACAACATTGGAGGTATCCAACATCAATTTCTTGAGAAGAAGATGAAAAGATACCTGAGCAAGTGGGTATGATGGAGGGATGGACGGAGAGTCTCAAGTGAGTTTTCAGATATTATAAGACACTCTAGAATATATTTTGAAAAAAGACGAGACCCGTAAGATCTTACCACAAAACTAGGGATACTCAGATGCAATTTTTATTTACTTGTCACAAGTTTTGTGTGTGTTTGTGTGTATGTAGGGTTGGAAAAAAAGGAAAGATGTTGGAAGAAACTAAAAAAATTAGAAGAAAGTAGAAGGAACTGTAAGTAACTCGAAATAAGTGGAAGAAATTAGATGAAACTGAGAGAAATTAGATGGAACTAAAAAAACTTGAATAAATTAAAAAATCTAAAATATATAAAATTTGTCATTATTGTTAATTTATTATCAGCAGTATTATTATTAGTATTATTATTAATATTACTATTAATATTAAAATAATAATAATAATAATATATTCATAATTACGTTATCTTAACCAATGTCTTTAAAATAAAAATGTATTATCTTAAAGATTTTTTCATATACAAAAAAAACTACTATACATCTTTATCAACTGTGTAAGAGCAACTCCAATTGGAGTGGCAAATGAAGAGGTAAGATACCATAATTGCCATATTTGTTTTTTCTTCACACAAATCAAACCTCCGATGGAGAAGGTAAATCAAAAGGTAATTTACCTTCTTCTATTTTGGAGAGGTATCTTTACCTCCTCAAATACAAAAGGTAAAATATTTGATGTCAAAGCCAAGTAATCTCCGGTGCATCGTCGATCTTCTATTTTCAAAATTAGACGGAATTGTGAGATATGAAATTAAGAAACAAATGGAGTGAAAGAGGAGTGAAGATAGAGTTTTGTATTTGGGGATGAGGGAGACAAAAAAGCAACTATACAGAATGGCGCTCGGACTCGTCTCTTCCCCTTGTGCGGCTGCTATGATTGCCTTAAATTAATCTCCCGATTCATTAATATAAAATTTGTAGAAAAGGAACATTTGACAAGAAATTAAAACGAAATAAATTTTTAAATTAACCCTAAAATGTCTTTTAATTTGGGAAAAGTGAGTTTACCTTTTCTAATACCCTCTATCCATTGGAATCAAATAATTTTTTAGAAGGTATAATCACCTTTTTGAGAAAGTAAAAGATTAAAATACTTTCTTCTTTTGCCTTCTTCCTTTGGAGTTGCTATAAATGTGTAACACAGATGGCTGGTATTGTAAACTTATGTTATGTAGAGTATGAAATTATCACATTCGGTATATATACAAAAGAAATATTTGTATTAAATAACACTGAAACTTAAGTCATTTCTTTAAATAGCACTTAGATTGTTTTCTTCCCTAAATAGCACTTTATAATGTCCATAATGACCAGTGATAGCAAACATTTACTTGAATAATAACTAATGGATAATGACTAAAAGTGCTACATTGAGGAAAAAAACATATGTAGTGCTATTTAAGAAAAGTCATTATGTTTTAGTGCTATTTAGGTAAATTCCTCCAAACAAAATTACGTGCGCTCCTATTGACATATTCACATTCCATGTATACGAAATTATGTGTTGTCATTTTGAATGTGTTGTCCTTTCTCATCTTGGAAAAGACTATATATAAAATTAAGTGACTATATATATAATTAAGTGTTGTCATTTTGAATGTGTTCTCATTTCTCATCTCTGATAAAATAGTTCAGCAGCTAGTATAAGGATGGTACAAGCCGACAATGAAAATATATATCTCAAAATTAAAGCAATCGAAAATGAAGTTGCTTGACACAATGCGACGGTTTTCCCTGTTCCATGTACCCGGTTGTACGTTCACCGGGAACGTGACCAAGTCATGCTCCTTCTCTTTTAGGATTATTTTTCTAAGGACGACCCGCGTTTTTTAAGTGATCATTTTCGTTAGTATTTTTAAATGTGTTGTGTATAATTCCTTCAAACCGTAGACGCACTTGCAACTTGTGACGTGTATTTCGAGCAGCGCCTGGATAGTGTTGAACGAGAGGGCATATCCACTACACAAAAGTGTACAATCGTGATTAGGCAGCTAGCGCACAGTACTCTACGCTGCATATTTCACGAGTGCCTCCACATCGGCAACTCTACATGCCGATAATGCTTGACAAATTTTTGCCAATACATTGTCGGTTGAAAAAAGACATTGTCGCAATAATAAATGTCCGCTTCATTAGCCATATATCAATATATGTCCATAATTTTTACAATGTTCCTCATCAGTGAACAATATTCATAATTTTTACAATGTCCATAAAAAAGAAAATATAAGTAGACGAATCAAGAAAAGAGAGAATCGATCAAAGAGAAAAAAATATAGCCTATGTTTTATATGGAGTACAAAATACAGAGTAATTAACATACAATGGTGTTTTAGTAAATGAATATTATTAAAATGAATGAAGTAATTAGTTTAATGTTAGTTTTGGAAAAAAAATTATTGTCCTGTACTATATGGAGAAAAGTGTTAAGTTTTGGTGCTACTTAAAAAATTTCACTAGAAAAAATCAAGAATCACTTATTTAAAAAAACAATATGGACTAAAAAATAACTAAATAAGTTATTAAGTTTATTTTTGAAATTGAACCCGAAGGCTCCGTTTAGAAACATCCGAAACATTTTCTGGACAACAACCACAAGCTTGAGCTTTTGGTTAAGTTGGTTCCTTGACATGGTATCGGAGCCTTCTTGACTAAAAGGTCACGGATTTGAAACTTAGCGCCAGCAATTTTTAAAAAAATAAGGTTTCACGTGCAAGGTTTGAGAAAGACAACACATGCACGTCAGGAGGTGTGTTACAATATAAAAACATTTCCTAGTCCACAACCACAAACTTGAGCTTTTGGTTGAGTTGGTTACTTGACAATTCTAAAAACATTTAATGTTAAGTTGTAGATAGATATTGAAATTACAAAAGTTAAACATTGTCGTTAAATTACCTTTTTCAAAAAGTAAATTTTATGGTTAATCTTTTATAACAGGGACATTTCTATATTTGGTCATTTATTATCAAATATCACGTTCACTGTACTTCTTTTATGATACTTTTCAACGGACGGTCTTTTTTTGATATTCTGTCATGTTGATGTTAAGTTGAGGATTAAACGTATAATTTCATATCAACTCTATGTCTAGTGGTGTAGCTTTTGTGATGAAAAAGCATAAGAGTCGGTATTAAACGTTGAAGTTCTTGTCCATTGATGGTGTTAATTATTTCGACCAATTTTATCATTTTTAATGTGTCAAAATAATAAACGAGCCTAACAATTACCAAACATATGAATAAGCTATTTTTGACGTGGAAACCTAAATTGGGAGAAAACCACGAGCCTTTTCTGGTGGTACCATGCCAACGGGGTGATTTTATTAATATCGGGGGTAGTACATAGTATTTAATCTTGGCATTATAGCCAATTATGGGGTGTTTTAGCTCTATAAAGAATAAAAAGGGAGTAGTTATGGAGATAAATATGATATGAGAGTGAATGGTGGGAGTAATTATGGTAGGAAGTGATAGGTGGAGCTAGTTACAGTAATGAGTGAATGATGGATGTAATTAAGAAAAGTGAGTTGACTGTACAGATAATTATAGTAGGAGGAGTAATTTATGGGCAATGATGATAATTATGGTAATATTAATAGATAAATTTAGGTTGAGATGTCTCGACCAAATAATATTTTTCATCATCTATCATCCCCAAATAGTGGTGTAGCTTTCGCTAAATCTAATACTCCCTCTCTTCCTATTTAACTTGCATGTTGAATATTACAAACTTAGGTTTAATCAATGTATCTTTTTAATTTCATTACTTAATTGATAAAATAAAATAGTATTATCACCTCTTATTTTATAGATTTTTTTAATATAATTTTAAAATAAAGAAATTTACTTAAATAAGACTAAAATATTAAACTTATACCAAAATAGGACATCTTACGTTTTTACTAAATAGTAAGGTCCTATTCTTTTGAATTGGAAGAATTAACTTCCAATTTTTTCCAACGTCTTTTAATTTCTTTAAACTCATTTTCAGCTTTTTCCAACTTCTTTCAACTACGTCTATGGAGTATTTATATATGAATATACAATTACATTCTATATCCAGATTTATAACATATTAACTCAAACACGAACAAGGATGAATTCTTTTTTATACTCCTAAAAAATTAAAGTTTTGTTAATTTTTTAAGTGTGATCGTTTAATTGAATGACTTTTTAACACCTTAATTTTTCTATTATTTTCTAAGTCTTTTCAGTATCTTCCAACTTCTTCCATGTTTTTTCAATATCAAACTCTGAAATTTCAACCTATAAGAACATGGCTTAAATAGAAACGTGGATACTGTGTTACGCCACAACTTGACATTATATTTGGCATTATACATTGATACACTTTGATATCATAAAATCTTATTTTGATATACAAACATTGAAAGTTCTATTCCAGAATATGAATCACATTTAAGGTTTAGTCACACCATGCTCTTTTAAATACTAAATTTTATTTTTAAATCTAACCTTTATTTTATACGGAGTATTCTAGATTAGTTGAATTAAATATAAATTTTGCCAACTGTGATAAACTGGTACGGACTACGGGTACTCCTTCCGTCCATTAATTTTTTTGTCACTTTTCTTTTTAGGTTGTCAATTTTTTTTTCTTGTTTCTTATTTTGGTAAAAAGTTTTTAACCCATACTTTTTCTTTACACTATTTATTTTTTTTCATCACATCAAGAATAAAACAAATAAAATCTTTATACTTTTTAGTTTTTTTGATATCCATGTCAAGTCAAAATAGAAAAATTCTTTTGAACGAAGAGAGTAATTTGCAATGCCCCATTAACGGGGGCGGATGCAGTGGCGGAGCCACATAGGAGCAAATGGGTGCAGTTGCACCCACTCAGTTGGATTAAAAAGGTTTATATTTAATACTGTGAATATTATATTGCTTAGCAGAAATGCTTGAAGGCATGCGCATCATCTCCACAAGCCTAAGTTCGATTCCCCCTATGTCATTTTTTAACCCTTTTTATAAACTATGTCTTGTAATTTTTTAATTTACACTTTATATTTTTTTATTTACACTTTATTTTGACCCCACTCCACCAAACATCTGGCTCCGCCATTGGGCGGATGGTGTATTATACTCCCTCCGTCCCAATTTATAGTGGATGTTTACTATTCATAGCGTCAAACTTCATTCACTTTGTTTCTCTATTTTCATTAATAATTCGATAAAGTAAAGTACTATTGTCACCTCTAGTTTTGTAGAAGTATTTTAATATATATTTTTTATTTTTTAAATTTATATTATTTGTCATATAAAATGATTTGAAAATAATTTTAGTTAAACATCGTAAACCGAAACAAGCGTTATAAATTAGGACGGAGGTACCTTCTACGGGGAGTACATCGACATGGCATGTTTCCCGCACATTGGAGTGGTTAAAATTGATTATCAACCCCTAAACACGTGATATGGCTAATTTTGAGCATAGTAAAAAACATACGTACATGGTATTTTATTTGGAGTTTGATTGGAAAAAATTAAAATGAACAATAAACAGAATTTTGTGTGGGGAGTAGAATGGTATTTTTTATGTCGCAAAATCTCTTTTACATTTGTTTTTTTTCTTGGTCAAACTTTAAAAACTTTGATTGCATTTTGTAAAGAAGAGCCATTTAAACATAAAGTAAATTTATTATAATTGAGTTTATTTATAATGTATAGATTTTATATAGCATCAAATTTTCAAATAACGTATTTTTGTAAAAATACACGGAGTAGTTTTTAAAGTCAAAGTGTTGCATTTGTTTAAAGTCATCACAAGAAAACTTTCACTTCTTTTTTGATAAAAAAAGAAAGAAATAAGTAGCTTACAAAAATTTTTCTTTCCTAGATAAATACTCCGTAATCAACATTTCTCATTGAGATTCGAACATGTGGTCTCACTATTAAGAAAAGCTGTAAGATGTCACTTGACAATGAGATTACTTTCTCTGTTTCAAATTAAATTATATATATATTATTCACAAGCTAAATGTCTTTTACAATTTTTCCTAATTTTTGTTACTCATTTATTTAGATAATACGAAGTATAGTAATGTCATCTTTTTTTTCGTAGATTTTTCAATATTATTTTTTAATATGCAAATTTTGTTTTATAATTATACACTAGCTCTCAAATAAATTATTTTGAAAATAATTTTAATAAAATATAATGAATCAAAACAAGCGATTTGAATTGAAAAAGAAGGAAATAGTACGTGGGTGTTTCTTTGTGCTGGTGTTTTTTCAGTGGGTGTTTCTATGTGCCGGTGTTTTTCAGCTTATTGCTGATAAATAATTTTTAACTTATAAACTACTGATAAGTCAAATATTTTCTTAAAGGCGTAAAATAACTTAAATGATACTCCGTAGATAAGTTATTTGTAAATATTTATAAACGGTGAGAGACAATTTGTTAATAATCAAGTTGAAACAGAGAAGTGAAAAAATTAACTTAAAAATAAGCCGCTAAGAATTAAGCCTCGCTGAGTACTTTTTTGCTTATAAAGACATTGAAATATGTCACTTATAAATTAAAAGTTACTTATAATTAATTTTGAACACTTATAAGAAGAGAAAAACAATCCATATCTTACTCCGTAATTGGTAGGTATGAAGTCCCATAAACAATATAGATAAGTGAAATTTGCATTAAATAGGACTAAAACATAATGACTTTCCTAATGTAGGACTTAAACTTTTTTATTCTTTAAATATGACTTAATAATGACCTTGTGAAAGGAATAATATACCCAGTAATGATGGATATTTAGTTGATTAATGACTACTTGATAATGACTAAAGGTCCTACATTGAGAAATAAAAATATATGCTAAAGTCAATTATGTTTTAGTGGTAGATTTCTCTAGAGATAAAGGTACTAATGGACAAGTCTGACCAAACAAGTGGTATACTCCAGAGCAATCTAATAGACAATACTTGTTCATCATTTTCTCCAAAATCTCTTCCATTTCATACACAAAAAACCAGTTTTAGTTACAGAGAAGAAGGGAGGAGGAAGAAGAAGAAGAATAAGCCATGGATCAGTTAAAACCAAGCCCACCAAATTCCAGCCCACTAACCCCTCTCACCTTCTTGGAGAGAACCGCCACCATCTACGGCGACTCCACCTCCCTTATCTACAACTCCGCCGTCTACACCTGGTCCGCCACCCATCTCCGGTGCCTCCGCCTCGCTTCCGCCATCGCCTCCCTCGGAATCCGCCGAGGTCAGGTGGTCTCTGTTCTCGCGCCCAACATCCCTGCTACGTACGAGCTCAATTTCGCCGCCCCCATGGCCGGAGCCGTCCTCAACTCCGTCAACCTCCGCCTCGACGCCCGGACCGTCTCCGTGCTCCTCCGCCACTGCGAGTCAAAGCTGGTGTTCGTTGACTGCCTCTCCGTCGCTCTCATCCGCGATGCTCTGTCCATGTTTCCGCCGGAATCGCCGCGCCCTCTCTTGGTCCTAATCGAAGACGGCGAGTTCCCGGTGACCGGCCGGCGGGATGAATTCGTTGACACCTACGAGGGTATGATCGAGAAAGGAGACCCCGGGTTCAATTGGATCCGGCCGGAGAGCGAGTGGGATCCGATTGTCCTGAATTATACCTCCGGGACGACCTCCGCCCCAAAGGGGGCGGTGCACAGTCACCGGGGAGCTTTCATCGTGGCGGCGGACTCCCTGAGCGAATGGGGGGTGCCGAAAGAGCCCGTGTACCTCTGGACGCTAGCAATGTTTCACGCCAACGGCTGGAGCTACACCTGGGGGATGGCGGCGGTGGGGGCCACCAACGTCTGTCTCCGGAAATTCGACTCGGCCGTCATCTACGCCGCCATTCGAAACCACAATGTGACGCACATGTGCGGCGCGCCGGTGGTGCTCAACATGCTATCGAGCTCGCCGGACCAAAAACCCCTGTCTCGCCCTGTTCACATCATGACCGCCGGAGCGCCGCCACCGGCGGCGGTGCTGTTGAGAACGGAATCCCTCGGGTTTATCGTCACCCACGGGTATGGACTCACCGAAACTGGCGGTCTGGTAGTCTCCTGCACCTGGAAGAAGAAATGGAACAGGTTCCCGGCGGAGGAGAGGGCAAAATTGAAGTCAAGACAAGGGGTGAGAACCATCGGAATGACGGAAGTCGGGGTGGTGGATCCCGACTCCGGCATTATGGTTAAGCGAGATGGAAAATCCCTCGGAGAAGTCGTTTTACGGGGCGGGGCCATCATGCTCGGTTACCTAAAAGACCCCGAAGGAACCTCGATGTGCATGAAAAACGGGTGGTTCTACACAGGGGACGTCGGGGTGATGCACCCCGACGGGTACCTGGAAGTCAAAGACCGGTCAAAGGACGTGATCATCAGCGGCGGAGAGAATCTGAGCAGTGTGGAGGTGGAGTCGGTGTTGTACGCCCACCCGGCGGTCAACGAGGCCGCGGTGGTGGCCCGTCCAGACGAGTTCTGGGGCGAGACGCCTTGCGCTTTTGTGAGCATCAAGGCGGGAGTGAAGAAGAAGCCCACGGAGAAAGAGATCGTGGCATTCTGTAGAGACAGAATGCCACATTATATGGTCCCGAAAACAGTAGTGTTTCGGGACGATCTCCCCAAGACGTCTACGGGGAAGATTCAGAAGTTTGTTCTTAGGGAGATGGCCAAAGCCATGGGCAACTCCAGGTTGAGCAAAATTTGAAGTTAAGTGTCCGATGTTAATCCATGGCTGTTTTTTCTTTACTCAATGATATACCTTCGTCTCATAATTTTCTACAATTTCATTTTATTAAAAATTAAACTTCTTATACACTGACCGCCGTTTGGATGAAGAGAAATTGGAAGGAAAGAAAAGAGATGGAGAGAAAACACAATTTATTATGTATTTTTTCTTGTTTGGTTGCAATAGAAAATTGGGGAAGGAAAGAAGAAGTAAGGCGGGAAGATGAAAAATTTTCTTTCCCCTCCTAGGCGAGAAAACTCCAGTGTTGGAGAGAAAATTAAATAAATTACACATTTGCCCTTTTAGCCCTAATCCATTAGTGCAAAATTGTCTTTTTCATTTTATTGTATTATTTTCTCCCACTTTTCCTCTCATTTTTTACTCATCCAAACAATAAATATTTTCTTTCACTTTTCTCTTCATTTTCCCTTCTCTTTATTTTCTTTCCTTTCATTTTCTCTCCTCATCCAAACAAAGACTAAGGCATTATTTGGATAAAGAGAGAAAATGGAAGGAGAGAAATTAGGTGGAAAGAAAAGGGAGAGAAGATAAAATAGAGAGAAAATGAAAAGAAAATGAATGTTGTTTGGATAGGTAGAAAATGGAAAGAAAAGGTAAGTGGAAAGAAAATATGTTAAAATAAAAAGATAATTTTACCCTTATTATATATCTATGTTTTTTAAAAGTGAACGCAATAGAGGGCAAAAATGTCATTTTAATAGTTTTTCTTCATCTAAAGTTTGATTAACAAAAATAGGCAATAAAAATGATTAAAGTTTGACCATGTAAATATTAACTGAATATTTTAGGACGGAGGGAGTAATTGAACTCCAAAGGTGACACCAGTAACCACTCCCAAAAATCGATGATTCCGTGAAAGACGAAAATGAGTAGTTCCGGCTCCTGGCACATGAATTTATAAGCTTTTGAATTGAACCAAGTAATCGATTGGATTCAATATTTTAATGTGGTCAACTTAACTCAAAAGCTTATATACTGATTATTTTTTTCACTTTTCGAATGTGAGATACACTCTCACATTAATTCCTCCCAAAGATCTATGACTCTGCAAAAGACGAAGAAATGAGTGGTTCCAACTCGTCGCAACGCGCGACGAGCCTCTCCACGGGGATCTTCGCCACATCACGGCGGACCCCAATGTCGGAAACAAACTGGCTGACACAATACACGGCACACCCCACGGCTGCTAGGCCCGGAAAGCTATTAGTCATGAGGCGAAGCGGCGAGGAGACGACGGCGGTTGCAACAGCAACAAACGACGCCGCCTGCCCGCTGCGGCCGACGCTAACGGTCGTGAATACGAGCAAACCTGTCTTGCAATATATCGCGAAATCCTCGCAGTTGTTCTTGAAGAGGTTGCAGGCCCCAAAGCCATTTCGGAGGAGGAACTGTGCACGGTGAAGGACGTCCTTGGGTGGATCCGAGGGGGCGAGGGTGCATGTTCCTCCTCGGAGCTTGGCGACGAATACGGCAGCAGAAATGCCGTATTGGAAACGGTAGAGGTTGCCATCGGAAAGGAAACAGTCAAGGCACGAGGAGATCACGCCATCCGCGGATGATCGGTTGCCGCATACGGGGCACGGCGAGTTTGGAGAAGGGGATGAGCTTACTATGAGGCTGTCTAGTATGGTTCCTGTCCCAACTTCCTGTCCTGCACCTTGGGTGAAATGGATAACCTCTCCATTGCCAACATATATCCCTGAAGAAATTGTTTAGGAAGCAAGAGATCAATGATGGAATTACCATGGGTAAAACCGTAAAAGCAACACTTCTGTTCAACTAGTAACAGTATTTTTGGTTCAAGGAATTTGGAGGTAAAAGAAAAAAAAATTCTTTCATTTTCCTCACTAAAATGAGAGAAATTTGGTTATCTCCCCTCTTAGTACATGTTGCCTTTTGATTTTCTTTTCCTTCTACTTTTCTTTTTTTTCCTCTCTAACCAAACAAGAAAAACTATTTTCCGTCTCATTTTGTTTTCATTTCCCTTTCAAATTTCTTGAAGAATAGGTAAAAAGGTATGAAAAGAAAAACAAGGAAAACAAATAAAAAATTTGAAAAGAAAGTAGATGATAGGGAAAATCATTTGTAAATGACCTCGAAAATTAAGAATCCTGTTTTGGTGGGGGTATTTTAATTTAAAAATTTGGAATTGTTTCACTTCTGTTGTTTTGACAATTTGGATTTGGATGTTGTAAGAGTCTAAGAGAGACGTATTCTTTTTGACATTGGTGTTTAATGTCATATTATGATATTGAGTCATTTAGGACCCTATAGTGCTCCTACTCGGCTACTCCTAAGTCCAAACCAATCCCTGCCCTCCACCCTCAATCACTAAGCCACTCTGTCCCTACCGTGGCATCTCCAAGCCTCTTTAGAAATAACGTTTTCGATTAACGTTAGTGTTTTAGATAAAATTATAACAATGTAGATTAACTTTAAAAATACTAACACTAACGTTGTCCGTAGATAATCTTTTTAAAATGCTAAGACTTATCTCTAATGTTATTCCCAAACAAGGCTTGTGTTTGGATTGAGAGGAATGAACGGAGGGAGGGAAAGAGTTCATCTTGAAAGAAGATGGGTGGGGAGGAAAACTAAAGAGGAAGAGAATCCTTCCATTTCCGTCAAATCCCATCCCCTCCAAATTGGAGTCATTTGATGGGAGGGAGAATGGTTTTTCATAGAATACTTAATCCAAACACACCCGAATCAACAAAAATGATAAAAAGGGCTAGATCCGGGGGGGAGATCGGAGCCGGTTTCGAGCTCAATGTAGAACAATAAGACTCCGATTGTCAAGGAATCAATTCAACCAAAAGCTCAAGCTGGTGGTTGTAGGGCCAGAATAGTTTTATATTCTAACATGCTCCTCAGTCTTCACGAACAGTAGAGATTTATTTTTGTTCAAAGCTTGCACGTGAAAATAATTTTTTTAACACTGAGTGACAGTGAGATTTGAGTTCGTGACCTCTTCGTCATCAAGACTCACATACCACGTCAGGGGAGGACCTACAAAGGATCAAGTGAAGTCAATTGACTCCAGTGAACAAGTTAGTAGAGTAGTCCAATTAGGTATATGGTGATACGTTTGCTGGCAAGCAGGGGTTCGAAGACTTCAAACCCATCTTATACCCAAATTAATATTCTTTTAGGTAGTGTTTGGGAACTAGTATTTCATTTCAATTCATGCATTTCAATTCCAAAATTTGAAATCTTGAATTTCAAATGACAAAGGAAGGTGCATGGACTTCAAATTAAGCTTTGTTAATTGTTATGAATGAGAACAATTTGACTCAAATTCAAAATTTTTAAGTTTCCCAAAACGTGGAGTTTGAGGCAAATACGGATTTGAAATCCAAATCCATGTTCCCAAATATACCATTATTCCATTTTATGGAGATATGTAAAAGGTTACTCCTTATATTGGAATGGGTAGGAAATAAAAATGTAAACTTTATTTTTATATGGATGGGCTACAACAAAGAAAAATATCCTAACACCCCAAATTCAAGACACAATTGATCAAATATTTATTACCAAAAATTAATATACTTTTGAATAAATAAATATTACTCCGTATAAATCATTGATACATCAAAACTATACTCTAAAATAAATTTAATTATATTTAATTTACATTATAATTAAATATCCTTTTTTAGTGTGATTAATAGTATTCCCATTTATTCGTCTATACAGCAGTATGACAATGTATCTTTTTACTTTTTATATCGAGAAATGATAGTATACAATAATGTTATCAAACCAAAAAAATTGACTACACTCAATATTTTTGGGTCCGGACCATGTCAACAAAAAGTTCAAAGTTCAAACTTGTGATTATAAGTCCAGAATAATTTTTATACTCTATCACCCATATCAAATGAATGTCATTTTAACAATGTACAAAGTTTGAAAATCTAAAAGATTGAAAATTCAAGGGTTTTGAATTCTCTATTCTTAGATATGGGTGGGGTTCGGTTAACACTGGACGACATTGGATGACACTCGCCCATTTTGAGACATTTCCGGTGCTCCGTTTGCAAAATTGATCGTTCCTACACCCTAACTGCCCCAAACTTCTGCCCCAGCCCCACCCTATGCCCCATCCAAATGTGTGGCTATTATACAATGGAAAATAACTACACATTTGGAGGGGGGCTTAGGAGGGGCTGGGAGGGCGGCTGGGGTGGGGCTGAGGTAGGGTTTAGGGGTGATTTGTAAACTGAGCACCGGAAGTGTCAGCCCCAAAATACTCCGGTCTCACTAGAAATTCACCCTTCTTAGAATTGTCAATTCCTTATAGACTGCCAAACAAAGAACTTGAATTCTAAACGCAATCGTATTTTCAATTTGCTTTGCATTCTCATTTCTCTAGCATTTTTCGGGATCCAAACATAACCTAAACCCGCAGAGATCTTCAAACGAGCAGTAATAAGGTCACGAACTTGCAGTGATCAAACGATTAATTTCATCACTTGGCTAATTAAGCACAGATGAATGTTCATTTCATCTGCGATTTTCTCATAAATTGCAAAAGCACAGAAAGTGAAAAAGATAAACGCTGCGAACTAACCGTGATGAGCGTAGAGGTAATTGTGCCTCCAGGAGTAGATGTGGTCGCCGGGTTTCAGTTCATCTCTTTCGATCTTGTTCGAGAAGACTGACATCGTTGCGCAACCTCCTCCGCCGTCGAGATCGCCGGCTCCGGCGCCGTCTTCTGCCGCTGTAACTGAAATAAGGAGTTGAGGAGGCGGGGGAGGAGAAGGACGTCACGCTTTGCTTTTGGTTGCTTCCTCTGTAAGATTTGGATTTTCTGATGAAACGAAATTGGAATAAATGCTTTGCTTCCCAGAAGTCTTTTGGGCCGATCCCGCATCAACGTTTTGCTTGTATTGGGCTTCAATCTTTATCAAAGTTATTTTGGACCTTTGTGGAACTTTCTAGACATGAATTGGATATAAGATCTTCAAAAAAATAATGTTTGAATTCAATTTCTAAAACTATTGTGGAGATTGACAATAGATATATCTTACTTTATTGATTGGCCCAAGGGACCCAATCATCATTTTTTTCATAGTGAAAAGTAATGGATGATTTTGGGAATTTAATGTTTTTGAGAGATAATTCTACCATAAACCAAAGTTCCAAAATTACAGTGGCATTCTAGTGTTACTGTTGACGAGTGGTAACAGAATCGTGACCTTGAAACATTTTGAACTTTTAAATTAAATGGAATAGTATCACTTAGTGACCATTTGCTACACAAAATTGACAAAATTAGTATTGAATTGTAAGTTAAAATTCTATGAAATTGATTTGGATGAAACTAAATTCTCTAATCTTAATTCATTTTCGGTACTACCAATTTCAAATCCACATATTTTTGTGCTACCAAACAACAAAATTAAAATTGGTGTCCTCCATTCTAGTTCTGTAGTTTTAATTATGTATACCAAATGGAGCCTTAACAATTTTCACAAAATAAAAAATAATTATTTTATCAACCGATAAATAAAAACATATTTTAATAATATATAATTTGACCTTGTAAAAGTTATATCAGAATTTTATTTTGAGTGGTGGAACTTCTACTAGCATACTAGAACATCCCGAAGTAGACAATAGTGGATAAATTTCAAAAATGGTACATACTCTTTTACGAAAAATTCGATTCAGTATCTAAACTTCAAAACCTTTCAAAAAATACCTGAACTTTCAAAACCTGTGAGGAATGGTACCTGAAGTCGGTTTTCAGGTAACCAACATGTCATTTGAGCCAAATTTTAATTTTTTATATTTTAGAATTTTAATTTGACCTCATTTCTTTTTTTATTCTTTCACCCCCTTTTGTTATTCTTCTTCTTCAAAGCTCCCCTAACCCCACCCCTACCCCTGTCAGCCCCCTTCCCTTCATCTTTTTTTTCAACACCCCCCCCCCCTTTTTGAGTTGCCTCTTTTTTTTGTTTACATCTTTTCTATTTTCCGGTTTTTTCCATCTTATTTGATTGTTTTTTATCTTTTTTTCTTAATATTTTTATATTATTTGTTTGTTTAAATTTTTTTGTGAACTTTTTTTGTAATTTTTTAAATATATTCTATTAAGAAATGTCTTATTTTTTGTTTGCTTTACATTTTTATATTGTTTTGTCTTATTTTTGCTTGTTTTTTTTATCATTTTTGGTTTGTTATTTTTATGCTATGCTTTATTTTTTCATCAAATGAAGTAGAAAAATAAATTGACATTTGGATTCATTCTTTTTTGTGGGTTATTCTCTTTTTATGTAACACTTATTCTTAGTTTGATTTAGTTTTTGTTATTAATTAATTTGTTTTATTTTATTGATCCTTTTAGTTAAACAAAAAAAATCACACCATACGTCTTATTTTTTGTTTGTTTTATTTGATATTTTTGTTTGTTAAATTTTTGTCTGTTTTCAAATATAAAAATTAATTGTATGGTACGATATTTTTCATTTAACTAAAATGATCAATAAAATAACTCATTAATTAATAAAATAAAATAAGTTGAACGAAGAATAAGTGAAACATAAAAAGAGAACAACCCACAAAAAAGCCAAAAAATAAAATATATAAAAATAATAAACAAAAAACAATAAAAAAACAAACAAAAAATTAAGACAACAATATCAAAAAAATAACACTTCTTAATAGAATAGATAAAAAAACTTACAATCACAAAAAAAAATCGTAAACTAACCAATAATATAAAAATATCAAGAAAAAAAGATAGATAAAAAACAAAAATTTTAACAAAAAACAAACAAATAAGATCAAAAAAACCAAAAACATTTAAACATAAAAAAAAGACATGAAAAAGGAAAGAAAAAAAGAGGGAGCTCAAGAAGAGAGGGAGGGGATGCTCGAAAAAAAAGAGGAATGAGGGCTGGCCGGGGGTAGGAGTGGGGTGAGGGGAGCTTTGAAGAAGAAGATTAACAAAAGGAGGTGAAAGAAGAAGACAAAGAAGGGGTGGCAGGAGGGAGAAGAAGAAAAAGAAATGGGGTCAATTTAAAAATAATAAAATACAAAGAATTCTAATTTGGCCCAAATGACGTGCTGGTTACCTAAAAACCGGCTTCAGGTACCATTCGTGAAAGATTTTCAAAGTTCAGGTATTTTCCGAAAGATTTTGAAATTTAGGTACCGAATCAAAATTTTCATGAAAGTTGAAGTACCATGTTTTGAAAATTACCGAGAAAATAATACTTTTAAAGAATCCATAGCTCATAATTTAAGCACATCATGCCTATCTACACAAAATGACAAGCAATTTGCAGCTAATTACTTATTTTGGGCATCAAAATTGTGAAATGGAATTCAGGGAGAAGCAGCAGCCTGTTGTTTAGCAGTCTCATAGTTCTTCTGGTCCTTAGGGATGTCAAGATCCTTAAAGACTGGGCTGTCGACACCAACTCCCATCGCATTAAGGCCATTATCGACATACACAACCGACCCTGTCATGGCTGAAGCCAACCGCGAAGCCAGGAAAGCCGCTACATTCCCAACTTCCTCTGTGACACCTAGGGGTGGACACGGTACCGGTACGGTACCGTCACCGGCAACGGTACCGCCGGTACCCGCCACCGTCACCGGCAAGGTCCCCGTGTCACGGTTTCCGGGAACCGGTACCGGTACCGCCACTTTCGGTACCGGTTCCGGTACCTATTTTTTGGTACCGGTACCGGCGGTACCGGTCCGGTTCCGGTACCGGTATTTTTTTTT